TGATCCATTAATTCACGAAAATAATTCCAATCTGTATTTTTGTTGCACAAATGTGGTGGAATAGGTTTGAATATAACATTTGAAGCGATCGTTAAAATTACAGGTGAGTGGTCTGAGGAAAGGTCCAGAGATTGCTCGATTGTCACAAAATCTCGGGATACACCTTTTGTAACAAAAAAATCAAGAAGGTCTGGTATTTTTTGACGATCAGAGGGCCAATATGTATTTTCCTTTGTGTACTGTAATTTGTAATATGCTAGTATACTGTAGATGGCTTGTTATAATATAAACACATGTTACAAGTCTTTTGTTTACTTTTCCTTGTTATTTTGTTCAACCAACATAGTTACTTGGTAACCCAAAAACCCACAAGGCCAACGTTAAATTTTCAAATAAGTTGTGTAGTCACCAATCACAAATCATGTTTTAGGGCTATAAGTCCCTAATTCAAACGTTTAGTCAAAATCCTTCAGGAGGATTTTTTAGATATACTGTATATTACAGACAGACAGAAAGACAGTCAGACACCCAGTATTAGAGTATATAGGATTAATTAAACAAGTACATAGTAATTTAACGAGTGCTGCTACAGGGAAAATAATAGAGTTTTTTCGAAATAAGTGTACAAAACAATCAATCTAAAACAATATACTTACTTTCCATAATAATAAAATGGGAATTTTAAATTAAAATTTTGGGAATTTTCTCCTTACCATAAGTGAATAACAATTAATGGTTCAATGTGTTATGAAAATGAATATTTAAAAACCAAATTTATATGGTTTTATTCAACTTGAAATCTGCTACATTTCAGATAAGAGAAATAACACAAAACTAAACATTTCATACATAAACAAAACACAACCTTAAATAGAACCAGGTGGGAGGTTTTTTTACAGCAATATCTTGTCCACCCTACTCCTTGTTGATGACCAAGCCTGGTCGTCTGCCTCATCATAGCATAGTAGCATACACAGACGACAGCTAACCTCGATTCTCAAAACTGTAATACAACAGAACAAACTTAAAACTATAGTGGTGGGACTCACCAAGGACGGATTATGGGGGGGCGGGGGCGGTGGGGGCGACCGACCCATCCGAGGCCCAAGAGACAGAGAGAAACAATTGTTTACAAGGGAACGCACGGAAAATAATTACTCGTTGTAGGTCTGCAAAAGAAAGATAAAATGTTTTGTCTGTGGTAAAACTGGGTTAGTTTGGTTAATTTACGGTTTTAACAAAAAGTCGGGGTAATCTTACAAATATTTTAATTTGAATTTTGGTAAACAAGGACAAGCGCTTTAAGGAAAATAATCTAAGAAGGTTGGCAATGCTGTTTTTTCGTGACTGTTGAGTACATCCTTGTCTGTCGTCCGTCATAGCGTTGACTCAGTGAATGGAAATAACCGAATCAATCGGTTCATATATGCTAAACCATAGATAAAACATACGTTGGTTAGTCTATGGCTAAACAGACTAATTCGGTTATTTTATCCTGAGTTGGTTTAAAACAGTTTGTCAGTTAAATTTATTTTAATATTTTTTATGTTTACCTTTTTGATGTTATGCCTATAAATTATTACAAACTGATTTATTGTGTTTTCTAAACAGCACCAAAGTCCATTTTCTTTTAAAAATCTAGTTATTGCATATTGTAACTCTGATTTTGCTCTCATGGCGTCGTGTGTGGTTTTGTCTGTTTAGTTTCAAATGTAAACAACTGACAGCTCTTTCCACTCCACAAATCTTCCACCCCTTTTACTGATAGTCACCACTAGAACTTGGACTCGTCCATACCAATAAATCAACAAAACTGAAGCTTAATATTCATTATTTAACTGTACGGCCACTTAGGAATCTCTTCGACAAAAACTGATTGCATTTTTGGATTCAGCGTGAAAAATACTGTAAGTAGACATCTAAAAATTACGATATCGCATTGTAGAAATATCAAATAATTACCAAAACTAGAACTTGCTCAATTAAAATTGTATAATGACTTAATAATAAAGTTAAACGTTCATAACCGAACCAAACCAACCAAACTTGCTGATAATGAAAAAAATCTTAGTCAAAAAGTTAGTAACACCAGCGGGATTCGATCGAATCCGAGACTCTCAGCATATCAGCCCGGCACGCTAACCACTAGACCACCGAGGCCGATGACTGCTTACCGTATTGTTACGGTAACGGTGTTCCCTCAGCTCATTAGTAATGAGAAGCCCACAGCTGTCATCGTAAGCTCATCTATGATGTCTATACCTCCCCCACGATTACTAGAAAAATACCCTCCCCTGAGTAAATACCGTGGACCGATGCACGGCCGCCTTTAACTCCAGGCCGCGGCCTTCGAACTGGCATCGTCGCAAGTGGTGTTGTAACAGCTGATTTGTTTGGAAGCAACTACTGTAATGGTATTTGTGTATTTATGAAAGGTTGATTACTGGACTATGACAATATTGACTCCGCTTAAAAATGTACAGATATAGATTTTAATTCATATTGTTTCAATTTTCAATTATGTATGTTTTATTTGAAATATTTTAATAAATTTATGTTCATAAATTAAAAATTAAATCAATAAAGTGCGATTTAATGAGCTGATGTCACCTGTCTGCCATGTTATCTTATGGGACGTCTGTCACTGAACAACACCACTTGCGATGTTGCCAATTCTACCAGGCCGCGGCCTGTAGTTAAAGGCGGCCGTGACCGATGCCGCAAGCAAGCGGTTAGTGACGTCTAACGTCTAACGGCACCTGAGAAATCTCCCGTGTGACGCCACACCGGACGTGTCCTCGTGTCGTCGTTCTCGTTTCTAGTTCGTCGGGTTTCGGTTCGGGTCATCGAAGTATATAACCACAGCCACCTCTAATACATCAATCTGGGGAGTGAGCTGGCGTAGTGGTTAGAGCGCGGGACTTCAGTCCCTGAGGTCCCGGGTTCGATCCCCGCCAAGTCACCAATGGATTTTATCTAAGTGATAATGCCGCAACCCCTAGGTCTAGCCTGAAGTAATGTGAAAAACAATCCCAGGCTCGTGCCTAGCGTCCTTAGGACAAAAAAAAATACATAATCTAATAATTAATAATTAATGCTTTCAGCATGCGCTGCAACTAATATCCAGCGGTCACGTATCACTAAAACTGCCATATCTCAGTTAATACTCGTCCGATCTTAAGGTTTCGATCGATTTGTTATAAAATTGCCTTAAAAAGTTATCCTTATAAAATTTTTGTAAAATCAACGGTTTTCGAGTAATTTAAGAAACAAAATTTTAAACAGCCACCATTTTGTTTTATGAATTTGAAAAATCGTCATATTTTTTTGTAGCTTTGTCTAGTTGTCATAAATGTTTGTGCAAAGTTTCAACTTCGTATCTTTAACCAATTTTCAGAAAAAAATTAATAAGTGAAAAAAACAAAATGGCGGCTATCTGAGTAACTAAGGACTTCCGGACAATTTAAATATGATATTTAGATATTTTTCTTACCCAGGAACAATGCCCTAAAATATCGGTGGGGCACACGGGAGGGACTAAGGCTAACATATCTTGTAGTGTCAGCGTTCGCCGCTAGGACCGCTAAGTTGAAAAAATTTATTTTATTATTTTTAGTTATAAAATTAACTTTTTAATTATAAAATATTGTTTTAAAACTATAAAATATTTTTTTATTTTCAAAATAACATAACCTAACCAACCAGACTTGCTGATAATATAAAAACTGTATAGTATAAGATAAAAATCTAATTAATGATTGCTTATAATTTTTAATTAATTATAAAATTAATTTTAAAATTTAGTATTATAAAATTAAACTGTCATAACCTAACCTAACCAACCAAACTTGCTGATATGAAAAATTTGTTGATAAAAAGTTAGAGCAACCAGCGAGATTCGAACCCGGGACCTCCTGAATACCAAATCGAAACTCTACTACCTACGCCACGAACGCCGCTGAGAGTACATCGTTTCGTTACGGTAATCGTGTTGCCTCAAGAGTATACATTAGCTACTAGAGATATGTCGTCACTACACCTTTAGCCTTAGTCCCTTCCGTGTGCCCATTCCCTAAGGGCCATGTCATACGAGCGCTATTGCCGTTGCGCAGATGCCGTCGAGATAGCGCAGGAAAAAGTACATGTCATACGTGACGGCAAATGAGTCGCGTTGATGCCGTCCCGCCAACGCCAGGTACCTGTCATACGTAGCGTCTTCAGGGCGCATTTGCCGTCGCGGCAAAGATGGACACCATCCAGTTAGGTTGTATCAGCTTTTTGCACATTTTAGATACATATGAAGAGTACCATTTTAATCAAAGGAACAGCATTATTTTTATTAATATAAAACAAGTAAAACTGATTTCCACATCTGATTCCAGTTTTCGTGCATGGCCTCCCAATCCTCGTTCCAGCACTGTGCCTTCAGTTGCCTGTTGCTGTAATCACTCGACTTTACATCGTACAGAGGTGGCAGTTTTTCAACTAAATAAATACATTTTTCCGTATTGAACATCGTATCAAATATCGTAATGATCACTCCAAAGGTGTTCCAGTAGTTGTTCTGTCAGTGCTCACGCGGCAAATGCGTCCCGCTGGCGCTAGCGCTCGTATGACAGGGTCCCGCTTTACGTGCGCCGCGTTGCTAACGCGACCGTCCGCGTTGGCAGCGCTCAGCGTCCGGCTAACGCGGAACTGACGACGGCATTAGCGTCCGTATGACATGCTCCATAAGAACCCCATTGCCGGGTTGGAGCGACTTTAACGCGACGGCATCTACGCGACGGCAATAGCGCTCGTATGACATGGCCCTAAAACATTGGTAGAGAGTTCCGGGACACTCTGTATACTTCGATGGTTCGGGTTCGTCGTTTGTTGAGTAAAAACATGGTAAAAACAAGCATAGCAATAGCATAAGCATAGCATAGCAAACTTTAACTTTAGTCTTCTTCTTCTTAGTCAGTCCCAGTCGTCGTCGTCACTCGTCAGTCGTCACGTCAGTCAGTCTTGAGTCTTGCCTTGCTTGTTGCTTGCTTGATTTGAAAGTCAGGTACTCAGTTTGGATTTACAATTGTGCAATTTCACTAAACAGTATTCTACCAAACACGTTTTTAGCGTTAAGTTATGTGTTCAGTAGAGTATTTAGCTATCTCGTTTTAAAAAGGTATGACTGTCAAATTAGTAGTTTTATTTTGTTAACCTAAATGTTACCTATGAGTCTTGTGTCCTAACCTATAGCGTACTACCATGTGGCGAATTTTTCATTCTAAAGACAAATAATTAGTTTCACAAATTAAACCATTAATGTACCTGTACTCTTTTTGGTAAAACTTTTTATACCAGCGAATTGACAAAATGAGGTCAATCTAACGTTTCAGTAGATTAATTATAGCCTACTAAGGAAAGCATGGCTTGGTTTTTTGACTGAATGAATAGCCTAAAATATAATAAAGAGGTAGGGCCTAGACCTCGTAAGTAATTTCATTGGACTGAATTGGAATTTGAAATTGTCATAGGCCTAAGCTTAGACCTTGTCATTCTTAACCCTAGGACTGCCCTGGCCTGATTAATGCAAAATTGCTCGGTGCCCTGGCAATTTTGGCCATTTTGGTTTTTTTAACAGTTCTCAGTGTCTAAAATACTGTTGATAACCTAGTCATATTCATACTTGTTTTGTTCAGAAAAGAAAGGAGATTTTGAATAGGGGGGGTTTTGTTTTGTAAAATGTAAAAAAATGAAATCTTTTGGGAATATTTTTTGAAAGCAGAGGCCTTGCATTTTTACACCAAACATTTTACAGACAATCTATGAAATGTAGGCAATTTATTTTCCTACGTGGGAATGTTAGATTGATTTTTTTCAAAATTTTTTTTACCAGAATTAATTTAGGCCTAAGTTACGGGGGAAAATTAGTGATGGGAGAATCAAATACTTTAAAGAATCGAATACCGTGAATTCGTAGCCTCCCCTGTATTCGAATACTTTTACGAATACTTGTATTCAAACACCTTTGAGTATGCAAAGCATGGAAAATTAGTGTGTAATTCTTTTTTCCCGTTCTTTTGGCCACTGTTATTTCGTTTTACAGTAATTAATTCATTAGTATAATTTATTCTATGTAATTTTAAATTATATGATTTTTAAAAGGTACATTTATTTTGACTTATAATTATTTCATGGTCAGTTACAGTCTTATTAATGTATTATTTTCTATTATATTAACTAATTAATTTCTTAAATAATATATCTTATTCATTTGTAGGCCTATGGATAATTTACATCAGATATGCATGTTATTTTGCCATGTAACTATATAAATCGGTTGTAGTTATAATAAATTCTATCCAATTGCCCTCTACCAGTAGTAACCTAATATCATAGATAAAACATGTTGGTTAGTCTATGCTAATATTTTAAATATCCAATATATTCTAAATGTTAACGATTAATAATAATCTTATGTAAATTATAGGGCTAATGGTAAAACTATAACGAATAGATGAAAACAAATGCTGCAGTAAAAACATTAAATACTCTTACGAATGCTACGGATTCGTAAGATACCTATTCAAAAGGGAATTCAGTAGTTGAAAAAGTGTTGAATACATTTTTGAATCCCCCGAATTCGCTTTCTAGATACAAGAAATCCTGCAAAATCTGAGGTCAAGAGCATTCACAAAAAAGTATTCGTACGAATCTGAAGTATTCGAATCTACGAATACTCGGGCTGTATTCGAATACTATTCGATTCTCCCATCACTAGGGAAAATACGGAAATTGGGGAAAATTAACAAATTTGCGCTGAACATTTTAAACATAAAATATAATCAGAAGTATACAATTTAGGCTATGGGCCTATGCAAAAGTTGTCATATTACTAAAAGAAACAATACATTTATTCAGAATAATGTCATAGGCCTATTGTACAAAGTTGTAACTTTTTTATCCCTTTATGGACTTGAAAAACAAAATTTAGTTTTTTACATTCAAGATAATTAAGTTTACGTTATTTAAATAGGAAATAAGTTATAAGTGATAATTTTAAGGGAATATTTTAGTGAAAATTTAGCAAGGTAATTGGTAGTTCGCTTGGTCTGCAGGTTTGCTGCGGCGGGGGTATTTACTGGAAGTTGAAGTTTGTCCTACCCACCTCTTTTAATTAACTTACACTGCTTAGGCCTATGATTACCTATCCTTGGAATTTCTTAGTTACTTCTTAAATAATTATAACTTTGAATTAATAGTCCTTAATTGGTTTAAAAAATATTATTTTGTCTTGTTTTAGGTTGATAAATGTCTATCATTAGTTCAAGGAAATCCAGTCTTTCAGCTCGAAGCAGTAAGGATAAGTCTTCTCGTAGATCAGTCAGATTTCAACTGAACTATAACCTGAAAACTGTCTTAGGCGATGAAACGGAACACCAAAGTTACAGAGAACTTGTGTGCTACATAAGAGATGCTGGCTTAGAAATACAAGTAAGTAATTCAACGTTTGAGTTATGGACAAACTTAGCCCTAAGTTGAGACATTGTGAACCTAGCTTAAGTTATGTGATTGTCAGAAGAAGTTAAGACTCTTTAAGTCGAAGATTAACTAACTACCTAACTATTTAAGGTAAGTTACACTTATATACATTTTAATTTCAGGATGAAGACATTCTACAGATACTAAATGAAGCTAGAGGGTGCATCAATATCTTGGACAAGTCTCACAATCTTTTTGTTCAAGTTTTATTGGTAAGTTAAGAATATTTTGTTAGTTATGTTACCATAAATTCCCATTAAAAATTAAGGAAATTATTAGACTGTGCATGCCAATTCAGCCAGTGAATGAAAACACTGTTTGTGTCTATTATGATGGGTAAGAATAGAATCACAAATAAAACAGCAAAAAAAATTGACAAATGATTTTACTATATATTTAGGCTGCTGTACTAAATAGCCAAAGCCAATAGTGGTGGGTTTATTAGCCTTAATTTTTAAGGCAACTTATATGTTCTTCAACATCAATTATTTGTCAAATGTAGCCTATACATACTGTACCTTAAAGTTCAAAGATTACCTACTGCCATTACATCAATGATTTTTCAACTGCTAAGTTACTTCAAAACATTTAAATAAACCCGTATCAGTTTGGCCCCCAAGGGTCTAACTGCTAATCGTGCAGTTTTTTGTGATAGGTAGCATAATTGCTGCTGTTACACCTTTCAGTCTTTTATAAAACATAGATTGATGGATAATTTATTTGACCAAGAAAACAAAAATACAATCGTGTCAATCTCTTGGCAAAATCTTTTTGGTCAGGTTAACCAAATGACCTACAGTCGAAAAAAAGTTTATAGACACAAGTTTTGAGCTCTACAGAAAAGTAACCAAACTACTTAGAAAAACACAGAGTATTACCACCCCAAAAATGAAGAGGACGAGGGACCTCGAAAGAAGCAGCAAGTCAGAATGGAGGTCCAAAGCCCTCATTAAAAAGTGATGGGAAATGGTAAATATAAATGCAGTTGACTCAACAGTTCACAGCCCATCACTGCCCAGTGTTCAGGTGTACAACAGCAACACTGTACGGGGTAAGCACCAGGCCAGAGGCGGCAGCAGTCTGGAAGTGCCATAATTAGGTCGCTACATCATCCAAATGAAATGTTAATTGATATACAGGGTGAATAAAAAGTCAAGACCCCCCACTTTAATATTTTTCCCATTAAATATACAGAGATACATCCTTTTGGTGGTCGTGCAATCTTAGCAGGAAGTTTCATTTTATGATTTTGAAATTTTGGAGTGTCCCCCCAAAAGGCGGGATTTGGGGGGTAACTCAAATATTTTAAATGTAAACCCCCTTCTAGTGACACCTCATTTTTAAGTGTTTACAAAAACTTAAAGAATGGTGAAAATTAGAGGTCGCTATCTCTTCTCTATCCAAAATAGTAGCCCGTTAAATGTTGTAGAAAATCAACGGTAAAATTGGTTCGTAATGGTAATATTGGCTACCATTTTTGTTTACCATAGCCAATATTACCATTACGAACCAATTTTACCATTGATTTTCTACAACATTTGATGTGCTACCATTTTGAATAGAGAAGAGATAGCGACCTCTAGTTTTCACCATTCTTTAAGTTTTTGTAAACACTTAAAAATGAGGTGTCACTTGAAGGGGGTTTACATTCAAAATATTTTAGTTACCACCCAAATCCCCCCTTTTGGGGGGACGCTCAAAAATTTCAAAATCATAAAATGAAACTTCCTGCTAAGATTGCACGACCACCAAAAGGATATCTCTGTATATTTACTTGGAAAAATATTAGAGGGGGGGGTCTTGACTTTTTATTCACCCTGTATAAATAATACGCATATTAATGTGGTTGAGCATTTAATTCTGTAGAGCTCCAAACTCGAGTGTCTAAACTTTTTTAGGTACTTTGGTATTATCCGGAGACCACCCTTATAGAGCGCTGTGGCGGTTATGTTAAGTTGGGTTATCATATATGGAAAGGAAATACTTTAATTGACTTACTGTCCAAATTTGACATGATTACAATTAGCGGCCTTTGAGTTCTGCCTTCTAGAAGGCAGCGATGTCGCCGAGGATTGAGTTGAATGTGTCGCCGTGTCTACCTGCCACACCAGATACAGGGAAGGGGTGACATACAGCTGAGATCTTCGAAAATCTTCAATTTCCATACAGCAAAAACAAATAGTGAACAGCTGACTTTTTCTGACATAAAACATTAGTTTCGCTACATAAACATTACTTTCGCTACATAAACATTACTTTCCCTACACAGACAATACTTTGCCTGGCACCAACAAAAAGTTACAATCAGCTGAGTTTTACACTAAAATTAATTGAATAGGCCTAGCCGTATTTTGTTTCGATTATAAAAATTAATAGATTACGAAATATCAGATAATTTTTTTAGTTTGATGTTGTTGTATTGAAGTCAAAAGAAAACAACACCCAACCACAACCTTTTGTAGTCAAAGGTTTGATGAAGTAGTTTTTTTTATCGTGATAAAAAGTATCGTTCAATACTTATCACAAAAGTCCCGTTTCGGGGCTCGATAGTGTTTCCAATGCTTGTCTTCGACTCGCATGTAAAACACTATCTCGCCCCGAAACGGATCACTTTCGTGACTAGTAGTGAAATATACTATTAACTATTACACATTACCCATTACCTTTGACACTATAGTACACTCTGCGACTAAATTAGCTTATTAAATGTTCTTTTTTAAATAAAGAAATTGCCTGGACAGCTGTTACGTAAATGGGATGTACCTATTTCAACAGATTCAAAGGCAATGGTCCCAAACAATCTAGACTAAATTGTCAGAAGGTAGGTACAGTCCAGTGCAGGTGCCTAAATCGAGGACCGTAATTTCCTATCCCAAACAGGAAAGAGATAATTTAAATAGCACAACTTCTTTTACTGTATAACTATTGTTAAAAATTAGCTATACAAATGAAAATGATATGGCTAGTGTTCAGCCTACAAAAAATCCTTCCATTAATTCTATAATTTAACTTGTTGTATATGTAAGGTTACCAAATGGGCCCACCGAAGCAGTGCAGTTGCCGAAGCATATAAGAGCTTTGTTGTCGACTTGTGTTCAGCTCACAACTATTACACAAAGTTTGCAATAGAGCAATTGGTGTCCAACTTCAAACCAGGTAGGTTATGTTTTCCCTTATCTTGTATTATTTAATTCAGAACTGTGAACTAAGTCACAGTAAAAAATTAACCATGGAAAAAATCTTACCACTGGAAACACATGCAAAAATGAAAATAATATTTTTTGTTCACACTTTTCGCTCACTCAGCTGTCCAAGCGTTTTAAATTATGGGAAATTTGCAAAAATGCAAGAAAATCTCAAAATCTACTAAACTCTTAATTAGTTAAAGACTTTGTCGGTTTGTGGGGGGAGGGTTAAACTTTCTGAAGTAAAATTTGTCTGGCTTCCAAAATTTACAATGAAATGAAATGGAAATTATTTTTTATTGACGTAAACCTAGGACCTCATGGTCCTTTCTTACAGTTAACATCTAAAAAATATCACTAATAACAAAACATAAACAAGGTAGAAAAACAAAGTTTACAATAAACAAAATGCATATCTAACAAAAAACCACAAAGTGGTAACACTTTCCCCACCAAGTCAGCAATCCAAAAAAGATAATAAATCATTGCTTTTTTTCCGCCAAGAAAAACAATGTAATGTATGGCTTGTTAAATACTTCAAAACATTAATGACATCTTTGCAATGGCAAAAGTTTACAGTTAGAATAAAAATCCTATTTTCTCTGAAAAAAATTAAAAAAAAATTTATTTGTAACAAAGTAATACTGTTAAAACAAACTGAGCTGTGATAGAATTTAACTACAATTGATTACTGCTGCTTCTACTTCTGTTAATAACAGCATGTAGTATCGGGGAATATCACTGCTCTAAGTAATTTTATATACAGTATTAGGCCTAAGTAGTTTAAATTATTTTCGCTGCGCTCACTTGCCTTCAGGTTAGCTTGTTCGCTACGCTAACTCGCCTCCACGATGAAGTTCGTTCGCTACGCTCACTCACCTTTTGGTTGCAAATTAGCTGTTGTCATAAATAAAAAAAAAAAAATAATAGTGCTGCACCCTGTTGGTAATCCTTGTAAGTTTTTAATGCTTTTGCATATCATAGAACCAACTTTTTAGTTGAAACAGCTGACTAAATTATTTAATTCCCTTTTAATATGAATACTCATAAGGTTAACATGGGGAACTATAGAGCCACTGGGGCGGAGCCCGAAAGGATTTTTGAGATAAGAATATGCCTATATGTTAATCGGGAATGTGAGCTATCATCATGCCAAATTTCAGCAAAATCCGTCCAGTGGTTAATGCGTTTCCTTGTCACAAACATACATCCATACATCCAAACTTTCTCATTTATAATATTAGTAGGATACCTGACAAAAAATAGGCCTACTTTATAAAAGTTTTAAAATAATTATCAGCTGTTCCTATGAATTTGTCTAAAATTTAAATTAATTGAGATTTAATCGCAGCTGGTCCTTCTTTTGTTTTGATTTTATTCCCATGTTATTTAAATGGGCCAAAATCGTACTTTGAGGGCTTGCCAACGGTTTATGGGTCAACGCACCGACTTGAGACTGTCAAAAGGCACATCTACACGTTAAGGGCTTTCAAACAACATAAAAAACATCAAAATTGAGCCAGTGGTTTGGGCTGTAGGTCCGTCAAAATTCAAGGAGAAGGGGGATAAGGAGAACACGGAAAATTTGTGAATTTTCAAACTAGTTTTTCTTGGCTCAAACACAACCGTTTTTTTAATTTTTTTTTTATTTTGTTGAGAATGAGTGCCCCTATCCAGTAGATGAACAATTATTGTAATAGGTTTTGATTATTCAGAGCTTTAGACGAGTAAAAAAGCCACTTTGTCACGTCATGTATATATACACTGCAGCAGCTGTGTACCGCTGGGGGACTTGGCGGGGCGGAACGCTGCCGCGTTCTTTAATATAAAGCCCAAAGTACCCATGAACTTTTGAGAAAACTTTCTTGCGCAAAACTATCCATTACTTCATAAATTACCCCTTAACCCTTTTAAGGCCAAGCACCAAAACGGTGCCCATCCCTCAAAGGCCAGCTATTTTATTGTGGTTTGTCCCAGAAAGGCCAGGTGATTTTCCAGCTGGCGAGCATGGTTTTGGTTAAATATTCATAGGCCCTAACAGCTTTATTTTTTATCATAAACCAATAATTTTTTTTTTACTTGTTGGAAATCGAATAGGCTTTCAGTAAATATACAAATTACCCACAAATTCTCCAATAAAAAAAAAATTTCAAAAATAATATTTTTTATAAATTTTATGTTTGGCCTTCACTTAAAAATATTCTACCTTCATATATCACTTGTAACCATACATATATATAAACTATAGTTAATTACTAGTAAAATTACAAAATTTGAAGTGCCTACCTTTATTTGAAGTTGAGTTATGGCGCATCATATGAACGGTGACACCACACTGATTTTAATCCAAAATGCGAAATGCAAGCGAATGCCCTAACACTTCCATATCACTTGTAGTTCCATAATGTCAGTCAAAATAAATTACAGCTATACATAATGAAAACAAAAAATAAGAGTTAATCAACCAATCCTAACTTATATACACACACAAAAATTATATACATCTTCAACGCCAACAGGCTTATTCACAGCGGTGTTGTCCAAAACATAGGGGATGAATACCCCTTTTGCACCTTTTGCAACAATATCTGGATCTTTTCCTTGGCCCACCATTTGCTGTACTGATAGGGCTACACACTGAACAGTTTTTCTCTAACCTACCAGGTAAATGGTCGATTCCATCTCCACCTCCTCCCACAGGCGCAACAATTTGTCGAGTTTCAAACCACTCCTCAGCTAATTGATCAATAATGTCAGCTGTGTAATCGTATCTATTCAGGATCTTACCAGCATTATTCTCTTTATACAATATATAAGTGTTCAAAACCATTCGAGCCATGATGTTAAACGTTACTTTACGCCAGTACTTCAGAGTTCTGCGTTCATCTAGATAGCAGTACACCATCTGGTCCGAAGTGTCAATACCACCCATAAACATATTGTATTTATCTATGACCTCTGGCTTTTTATTTGTAATAAAATCATTCTGCCTTTTCTTTGTTTTCTCCACTGTTTTTGCCTTAAACTTAGTTGACAGCAAAAGAACCGGGTTTTTCTGGGTCTTCTTTTCTCGGCAACTGAGCATAAGGATATTTTCATTTTCATTTCTTACGTAGCACTGCTGACCAACTTTTAATTTCTCTTTTATTATGTATGGGATTTCCTGCCTGTTCCTCCTTATGGTCCCAGTAATATATGTTTCTTTTGAGAACAGAAACCTAGCTAATGGTATGGACAAAAAGAAATTGTCGACGAAAATGTCATATCCCTTATTTAGGTAGTTTCCCATTTCTAGTAATTTAACTACAACTTTATGGGCCAAACCTTCTTGCATGTATTCATTCAGTTCATTTTCTTTTTTCCCTTTATAACAGAAAAAGCCCAAACAATAGTTACTGACAGAATCGCACATCATTCATAATTTGATTCCCCACCATTATGTCCATAATGTTTGTTGGGCAAGTACTGTGTCATCATTGTGTGGCTTTTTGTACCAATCAAACTCTCGTCTATGGACAATTCTCGATGTGGTACATAATAGCGTCGGAAAACTCTATTGGCATGTTCTACTAACAGGGAGAATCTAGAGCATGGGTCATAATTTGGTTCTCCTGGCTTAGGGAGGACACTTGAATCGGTTATATGGAAGAATCGTAAAATAATTTAGAAGCGGTTACGACTGAACATCTCTCTAAACCAGGGTAAGGATTGGTTTTTACTTTTGGTTCTCCAATAACTGTCAATTGTAGGCCTTTTGTTTAGGCCCATGTCCAGTATGACTGCTATAAAAGCCTTGATTTCAGCCAATTTAACTGGTGACCACTTTATGGAAGAATTTGGGAATTTCTCCAAGTACCTAGTAGCATACAAGTTTGTCATAGTAACAAAGGTTGTCAGTAATGTCTCAGTAAAAAAAAGGTAGAAATAATCAATAGGCCTAGCATTGTTAGCAAGGCAATGCCTAGGTCCTGGTTGTTCATAAAATTCATGCGCTGTGACATTACCTAGATCATTTTCTTCCGAAACGATTTTCCACCCTGCATTGGCGTCTGACTCAAATATAGGCCATTGGACATTGTAGACATCCTTTTCATCATTTACCACACGCCTTTGCCTACCTCTAGGCCTAGTTTCAAAACTTCCACCACCACTATTTTGATCATTACCTAGGTTAGATGATCGCGGTCTGCCCCTAGGCCTAGGCCTACCTGAGGAAGTTGATGGCCCTGGATCATCAATATCTTCGTCCTCCTCATGATCCTCTGGATTGAAATCGGGGTCCTCATCCGTATCATCGGCTAGATCAAAATCACTATCCTCCTCACCAGAATCATTTTCTCTCAGTTCATTTTCAACAGTAGGACACAAGTCACCATCATCAATAAAAGTAACACCACTTGTAATAATGTTCTGTATTAGAGCACCTTCACTTGTGGGTGACTTTTCACGATGTCTTTTACTCATAATTTATGTTAAAATGTACAAACAACAATCTTGTTAAAGGTACAATCAACAATAAACATTACCAAAACGCACAACGAAATGTAAACAATACCTCACTCACGACGGAAGACCACGGCACGGAGTAAGCAAGCTGATTTCGCCAGCAAAATGCACAGAAATAAAAAAAAAAATTATGAAAATGGCAATCTTTGCTGTTATTCATGTAGCCTGGAAATCCACTACACAACAATACCAAGTTTTGTGGCGTTTGGAAAAATTAAACAGCCAGTAAATGGAAAAAAAGAGGCGGGTGCCTATTACGGCCGTCGGCCGCGAACGTGACTTTGCCCGTGGGGGGCTATTACGGCTGCCGGCCGTGAACGCCATTTTACCCGCGGGTGCCTATTACGGCCGTCGGCCTTAAAAGGGTTAAGGTCGTGATTGCTTTCCAAAGGGAACTTTCCATATAGGCTACCTAATGTTAAAAATACCTCAGCTGTACTTATTTGTATGGTTATTCTTTCAATTTATCACCTTATTAAAATCAGGTGTGATTATTTGTTTGTATTACTGTATTCTGTTTTGTTTATTTCAGCTTAACTTAACCAATCAATAGTTTTATTAATACCTATGAAGTCAAACAGGTGAAGCCCGTGCATAGCATCTAGTAGGTCTAATAACATAACATGAATTTCTTTTCCCTGATATACAATCATACACACACTGCTGCACCCAGGTCTAATGATCGCCATCTCGCCATGCGAAAGCCATTCGGTTAAGGTAATACAATGTGGGCCTTGAAGACAAAAATGTTGAAGAAGATTGCTCTTCATGATGACCGTAATGAAAATTGGGCTTTTCTATGTTTTTAAAGGAAAAAAATAAATAACTTCTTGATTAGCATTGTATGTGTTATTAAATTTACAAAAAGTAAATAAAAGAAACATCTTATAACAAACATATATATACACACTTATACTGTTATCACAAGACAGTAAATATACCTAATAGGCGAATGACAAACATCTTGAATGGCGTCCCTACTTATACCCTATTGGCTACCGGAAGCACCGGCCAATACATTTTTATAAGTACAACTGGAATCGAAATTTACTTGTTCATTAATCAACTTTTTTCTATTTTTACATTTTTCCTTATATATAAAATTCTTCCCAAGAATTAATCACGTATCCTTTCTTAAAATTAAAATACATAGATTATCCTCCATTTTTCCTATTGAATGGCCATTTTGTAACAGGTGTTGTGCGACATTTGATCTTTCCGGTTTGTTGTTCCTCCACGCAGATTTTATGTGCTTTTTGAAGCGATTAACGAAGTTCACAGTCTGTCCAATGTAGAAGCTATCACAATCGTTGCAATTGATTTTATAGATTTCCGAAGCATCAAATTTGTTACAATGTTCTATTTTTGAATGCAATATTTTACTCATGGTGTTCTGAGTCCTGTAGGCTATTGAAACTCCGTATTTCTTAAATATGTTAGAGCAGTTTTTTGTGTTGTAATCCCCATGTAGCTAAATGTGACATATCTGGTGTTTTCCTCTTTAACTCTTCTAATGTTGTTCTGCAGTGTAGGGTGTTCTGCCTATTGATTTTTCTCCTCGTCTTTCTTGCGATGTTTTCTATTGTCTTGGTTCGAAATCCATTAACTTGAGCGATCTTCTTAACGGTGTCCAGTAGTAAAGAATTAAAAAAACTTTAACAAACTGTTTAAAATCTCATATCTTGCTGGTTCGCGAACTCATTCAGGTTTATCTTGCCCTACTCATTCATACACCATTTTACCAAATTTGGACCGAAATTACTTGTGTTATCACGTACCCATGTATTTAAAAAAAATTTGAATGAATTGGCCTGATGTTTTTGCTCTCATTCATAAAATGAAAATAAATCGGTCCCGGGTCTAGGTCTTATCGTGCCACCTAAGTTAGACCTAATTTCCACGGGAAATTTGTTTTAAACATTGTATTCTTTCATAATCAGTTCCTAACCCTATGTTTACCGTACGACATTCAAGCATACATCAGTCATTTAATACAAAGATAAAGTTATTATAGCTCTGTAAATTATTATTGTATTTTCTTCATGGTTTTAGTTGGAGAACATTTGGAGTGGGAGAAGGGTCGTCCGTGTGAATCAGAAGAAGTTGTTTTCCAGAGGATACATTCTGTGATCAAGGTTCTCTTACAAGTTATACCTATGTAAGTAAGCCTTGTCGTAGATTGTGTCAATAACTGATGACAATCATACTGCTGCCATTCAGTAGGCCAACCCAATTAGATATTATACCAATCTGTTAAGTTTTTTAGTAATAAGTAGACTGAAGTAGGCCTATATTAATGCACTAACACTAACATAGTGGCTCTTAGTTAATTATAATATACTTAAGTTTTTTTAGAGGGCATCACATTTGTTTCTGGTAGTTTAAAGTAGCGTTAAAAGTGACTCTTTTCCGGAAAATGAGCGAGGGTTGACAAGACTCCCTAGTAGGGATGAACGGGTCTTGAAATTTCGTGAAATTTTAAATCTTGTTCTGCAAGAGACAAAATTTTATTTTGATGGCGATTTTTTTTAAGACGAGATAAAAAAATGAGTTAAAACGCCTGCAGAAAGTCAATGCAATACCCGCAATAAAGGAGTACGTTGTTGTGTTTCCTTTGTGAAGGCGTTCTTATTTAATTAATTATTTACATGTAAATATTGCTTTGTTTTATAATTTTTGTTTTGACATCACAAACGATAAGAAGTTATGTTAACCCTCGAGGAGGTGCTTCACCAGTAAAACAGGGGCGGGCGCATGCAGAGTTTTATTCCGCAACACTAAATAGCATAAATTTTACCCATTTTACTTGTTGTCATAACAAAATATTATATGTAAATGGGCCATTCTTCAGAAAAGGACAGATTACGGTCACCAAGGAGTAATTAATAAATAAAAATTAAGATAATAAATACATAATTTTTTGTTAAATATGTAGGTAAACGTTTTTTTTTTATACTTAATGTAAAGAATAAAAAAATCTAAATGAAATTTAATGAACATTTTATGTCCACAGAAAGTGACATATCACTTCTGTGGACAGTCACCCCCTCTAGGTTTAGCTTAAGATTAGCTGATTTTACTAACAAATTTGAAATAAAAATTATTAAACCCAATTGCTGTTGGCTTTCTAAACATTGAATATTAATAATTTTTTGTTTATTTTACTTTTTCCATTCTATTAAAGGTAAAAAAAAACAAAGAAACTCGGTCACCAAAGCCTGGCATCACATCTGTGGACAGGCATAAATAGTTCCAAAAAATCCACCAGGCAGCACTGGCCAACTTTCACCACTATTTTTTTACAAAGAAGAAGTAACCTTCTTGAACATAGAATCAGTTTGGTTTTGTTCTGTTCAGCTATTAGTTGTTTATATCATGTGAAACTAGAGTTTTAATTGATCGCCGAGCTAACATAGTCACTTCTGTTACCACATTTTAAAGGTAATTATGCATGTCAATTAAACCTAATACACTAATTTACAGTGTTTATGTGTTTCTCTACAAAAATAAGAGCAAACATTGTTCCTAACCTATTTGCTAGACTCTATGTTAGGCATAAAATGCAAAATCATCACTTCTGTGGACACTAGCAGTTACCCGGCGCGCATTGCTGCGCTTAACAACTATTATTTTAAAATGATAAACCTAATACACTAATTTACAGTAGTTTATGTGATTCTCTAGAGCAAACATTGTTCCTAACCTATTTGCTAGAATCTGTGTTTTTAACTTTATTTGTAAAATTTGCAGTTGTGATAGTCACTTCCGTGGACATGCTAGTTTTTAAATACTAAAAATCAGGGAGTAATTTTTATTTAGTGTGACCATTGCAATGGGTAAATATTAAAAGAGTCACACATTAAAATATCTAAAAAAAAAAAAAAAAAAAAAAATTGAAATCTGTCCTTTTCTGAAGAATGGCCCAAATATTGAATAACCTAATCAGAAGCCTAATTTCTTTGTTAATAACATTAAACTCTGCGCTAAGGACTAACGCGATAGGGCGCACACGGAGTAAACCTCCGCATACTGATACAGTGTCACTGAATTGCAACTGACAACAAAATGAGTAGGAATTTGGGGGTAAAAATAGCTTAGGGGCATTCCCAGGATGAGGTGCGTGAAGTGTAGAGCCGGACACGACTGCCGACAACCATTATGCATATTTATATTAACAAAAACTACAAGTGCGGAGGAAAACTCCGCAAGCGCCCGCTCGAGGGTTTAAGTGTAAGCAGTGTGAGACATGTCAAGTCACTCCAAAATAATTCTAAAAATAACACAAGACTGAAGTTACTTGATACTTAACTTGTAAGACTGATGTTTCAGAAACCTGATAAAATTTGTATATTTCAAAGTTGAAGTACTGGTATATAACTTAACCGATATCACCATGTTTCCTATGCGTAAGAGATATTTTTAATAAGGTAGACCTAATTAATATTTGTATATTTTATTTATACTCGAGTTTTTAATAAAATATTTTAGATATTCATATCTATTATTATTATTTTTTTTGTATTTAACCAGTCATCTGTCATAAATCAGTGGGTATTTAACAATATTACAAAATCAGGTTAAAATATCAAAAAATGTAAATTTCCCGTTATGTATGAATTTTCAAAAGGGAAGTCTCGTCTCGGACAAAAATCCAATCTCGTCCATCCCTATCCCTAGGGACTATAAAAGGGTTTTTAGCCTACTCCTTAGGAGCTAAAAGGCTTTACTCCCTAGGAAATATAAGACTTCTTAAAAAAGCTACTTTAGACCCACAACACATGTTTTAAAAACATTTTGACTGTAAAATATGAAGCTTGTTTTTATTTATTTGATTTTTTATTGATTTTAAGCTATCTTTATAGTAAGTATTTGAAAATGTCTCCATTCGGATACCTGGAAATTTCCCTGGAAAAAAAAGATGCATTTTCCTTGCACAAGGTAGGCTAATATTTCTGCTTGTTTTTACTAAGGAGCGTGGAGTTGCTGGTCTCTAGTGTTTCGGCAAGTTTTCCCTACACCCGTTGCAAAGACGCTAATGAACATGTTGCCTACATCTCCAATGTTCTGAGGATACTAGACTACAAAGCTGAGCTTAGACAACAATTTCTCTCCCTAATTGTAACCAAGTAAGAACTATTTTAAATCAATTCAACCTCATAATAGTATATTACGTTACTAGTCCTGAAAATAGCTGTTTACCGAACGAGAGTGGTCGTTCCCGTGCGAGACAAAGTTGAGTGTGGGATTACCATATGAGTCCGGTAAACACATTTTAGATGAGTTGCGTACGTTATTTTACTCCATACTACTCTAAGTTAATTTAACAATAAAAAACCTGAACAAATCCTTATATATTTCCACCGACTAAAGGACTCACAATCACTTCTCATAATCTAAGAGAGGTTGTGTTTTTGTTTATAGCCAATCATTGCCAAATATAATCAGCTGGTGTGTGGTAAAAACTCATTACAGTATAGTAGTAGGTAATGAAATCCCATTTGATTAAGCTGGAGGCAAACAGCTGTTTTCTGGACTAAATCCTTGTGTAGGAAGTTTGTTAAAACAGGTGTAGTATGGCGTAAACAATATTATGGTTTACGCATATATATATGTGTGAAATTTACTAAAGAGGGTCTACTAAATTTTGAGAATCTACTAAATTTACTAATGGGAACAGGGAGCCCTGTTCGGCAATTGGGAAAACCATAAAAAGCGGGAATATTATGACGCCGGGAACTATGTGAGAATTATACGTAAATTCTGTAATTATGGCAGTAATGTGTGGGAATTTTTCTTAAATCAATTTTTATTTTAAATTTTCAACAATTATTGAGAGTCAAAACAGAACACGTGTAACATTTGTCTCCAACAGAAAAATGTACTAGCGTAAAAAGCAAAATCAGCATGTTACGAAGACGACAGGCTACAAACGCCATTTTCTCAAAGCCGTCCAACCCAGGACCAGCTTAATAAGCTGTGTGTGCACAATAAGCTGTTCCAGCTGCTATGCAATCCCATGGTCACTTGTAAGCCTGGCCCTCTGTAAAAAAAAGCCCAGGACCAGGATTCGGGCTACTACGTCAGAGCTCGGTTTCCAAACTCTAAACTCTATATTATTTATCTTGTGACATCTGTGGTCTATTTACTCGGCTGTCTGTTGACAACTCAAGACGAGCAATTTTGTTTTTCAGTTCTTATTGTTTACAGATGTCCAATAGGATCTTCTGGGATCTAGAGGTAATTTTAATTTGACATAGATACAGAAAGTAAATAAAAGAAACATCTTATAACACTTAAAACATATATTTACGCTTATACTGTTACTCACAAGACGGTAAATATAGGTACATAAAAGATGGTAAGTGGTGATCAATTTCTATTGGACACTCCAATCATCATCAGACCTAACAGGCGAATGACAAAAATCTTGAATGGCATATCCTATTTGCTACCAGAAGCACCGGCCAATACATTTTTATAAGTACAACTGGAGTCGAAATTTACTTGTTCATTAATCTGCTTATTTATTTTTTTACATTTTTCCTTATAAATATACAATTCTTCCCAAGCATTCATTACATATCCTTTTTTACAATTCTTTAATTTATTCTTATTGCGTGGCCATTTTGATTTTGTATCAGGTGTTGTACTACATTTGATCTTTCCGGTTTGTTGTTCCTCCACACAGATATGTGGTTTTTGAAGCGATTAACAAAGTTCAGTCTGTCCAATGTAGAAGCTATCACAATTGTTACAATTGATTTTATAGATGCCCGAAGTGTCGAATTTGTTACAATCTTCTATTTTAGGATGCGGTATTTTACTCATGGTGTCCTGAGTGGTGTCCTGTAGGCTATTGAAACTCCGTATTTCTTGAATCTGTTAGCAGTCCTTTGTGTTGTAGTCCCCGTGTAGCTAAATGTGACATATCTGGTGTTTTACTCTTTAATCTCTTCTAATATTGTTCTGCTGTGTAGTTTATTCTGGCTATTGATTTTTCTCCTCATCTTTCTTGCCATGTCCTCTATTGTCTTTGATTGAAATCCATGTACTGATCTGTACTGTAACCACCGTGACAAATGGCAACACTGCGCATGCGCAAGACTACAATTTTAAATTTCAAGCTCAACGGTAAAATTGATTTATTGATGGATGAAACTACCTGGCTACATGACAAACAGCAAAGCCTTCATTCAGCAAACCAAAAAGGGCTTTTAGCGAATTTCCCATATAGGGAATAAGCTATTACCGTAGTACTCATGGTAAGACCTGGACCCGGGACCGATTTTTTTTTTTCGTTTTGAGGTCCCTAGAGGCTAAAAACACCATCCGTTCAAATTCATATATATATATATATATATATATTTATATATATATATATATATGTGTCCGTTAGCGCGATAACTCGAGCAAAAATGATCCGATTTTGATGAAATTTGGTACAAACTTGTAAACCTACGTTTATTCGAACGAGTTCGCGAACCAGCATGATCGGACCATGGGAACAGGGGTTTTTAGGGGGCTTTTATGGGGTAAAAATGGGTTTTTCCTATTTTTGACCCAAAAAACATAAAATTTTGAAATTTCTTTCCAAACTATTTTCTAGAGCTTAAAAAAACAAATAATTTAGTATATTGAAGCGTTATAATACGCCTAATGGTTACGGAGAAAATTCCAAAAAAATTTTTAATTTAAAATTCCCATGTTATTCTTATGGAGAATAAGTAAACCGTTGTAGTGTGCTTGTTTATTAACATGTTTTGCCCAAATTTGGAAAATGTTTTTATTTCTTACTAACTGTTAACATTTTACATAAAAAAAAAAACACTTTTACCCTCCCTGTTGCAGCAAACCTAAGTATGTGTTAAACTGATTCTATTTAAATAGGGAATAAATGTGATATTTTTAAGGAGACATTTTAGTCTAATTTAATCAGGCAAATGGAAATTCGCTTAGTCTGCAGGTTTGATGCGGCGGGGGTATTATTTGTTGTTGTTTGTATGCTTTCAGGGTTGCCACCAGCCATGAAAACCTTGAAAAGCGTGAATTATGCGTGAATTTAGGTGACCATGAAAAAGTGCGTGAATTATGCGTGAATTTCGCCATTGGACCATGAATTCTCAAAATCATTATTAATAATTCAGCCAAAACCCCTAAATGTGCTGAATCAAATACTCCGTATTAAAACCATTCTCGAAATGAACACCGAGATAAAACGTCAAAGTGGGAGTGTCAAGATAAAAAGTTTTGTTGCCATGCCACGAACAGAAACGATTGCGTAGTTTATTCAAGGTCAAATCCGATCGTAACCGACGTCAGCCGAGTAGTCTAGAGATGAGAATTATCGTTGTTTTCCGGCAACGGTTATAACGATAACGCAGCTGCCCAATAACGTGTTGCGGCAACCTGTTATTTCAATAACGATTGCCAACTCGTTGCCGCTATAAACCAATAAACCGTTGTCTGCCGGTCGGTGTTGCGGCGTTCAGTTATCGTTGTCGGTTGATCAGTTCAGTTTTCAGTTGTAGTCGGGAGTCGGGCGTGGCCCAGACAAGATGCGTTATTCTCATTCTAGTTCGTTTCAGAAGTTATCGTTGCTCTGGTAGCGTTACGGCAACGGCACTAATGGCAATGCATGTTTTCGTTTTCGTTGTCCGCGCGGCTTTCCTGCAACATTGTGTAGATAGATACGTTATTATAATAACAGGGAGTTCTCCGCAACGTGTTGCCGCGATAACGTTGCCGTGGCCGCAACACTGTTATTCATCCTGTTATGTTATAACGCCCATCTCTACCGAGTACCGATCTACCGATAAAATCGATGCTTTCGGAGCCAAAACATCGATCACATCGATGTTTGTTCTGAGTTTCTCGTCTGTTCTCTGCACTGTAACAGCCAATTAACCTAAAACCAATACAATTCAGTTACGGAAAACGTCATCAATACTGTATTTCATTACTTTTTTTGGCCTAAAAGACCGATGTAACAAACCAAATCATCGGTTCGGTAATCTACCATCGATGTAAACAAACAACTTCGAACATCGATAGAAAAGACATCGATGTTTCGAAAACATCGACAATCGGAATTGATGCTCGCTCTCACTCATTCTCTACTCTCTACTCTTAACTCTAGTCCTAGTGTTCGTGTGGAGTGGAAGGAAATACAGAATAACCATAACCTAAAAGTTTTAAACTGATCTGAAACTTGTCAAACGTTTGAAGTAGTGGTGGACACTGGACAGTAAGATCACTTTTTGCACTCGTGATTCCGTTTTGTGCTTCTTATAATTGATTACCCAACACTCAGTGGAACAAGTGTTCAGATTAAATATTTTTTATTACTGATATATCATACTTCCGATACTTTACAACGTTAAAATAAGAAGTACCTTGCCTTGCCATAAAGGTCAAAATGGCTTGCTCCGGCTGGAACTTAATTGTCTTCTGTGTTTGTTTGGTGAAATATGTCGTATTTCAAACTACTGTCAGTGTTGAGTAAATGTGTTTACAACATGAGTTTAAGTTTATTTATTTAGGCCTAAGTTGCAAGAAGTCAATGTTGTGCTGAAAAATGGTGATTTCGTTCTGAGGAAGGTAAATGTAAATGTTTTGTTAGAAGCATAGGTGTTTTCAGTCAATACGAATCTAACTAATGAGATGTAAATTTAATTAAATAATTGTTTTAACTGTGATTTAAACCTGTGTAGGCAAATGATAATATATAAACTGATCCAATCGGAAGAAACATCCTTCTAAACTAAGTTTATTTTAACCTTTTCTGTAATGTAATTAATTATTTTTTTATTACTTAAAAGTTAGCCTATGTTTAAACTTACATTTAACTAATCCACTAATATTTAACTATTTAACTAAATATTTATTTACATAATATTACCTTTTTAGTGTTTTTATCAGTCAGTCGGTAACCTTTAATCTTCTCAATAAATAAAAGTTGGTTCAGGCCTAACTTAGCCTAGATTCAGCTTTGGATTACAATGTAGGCTAGCCTACTGTGTTACAGTATAAAGTAATAGATTGCATGTGCGTTTTAGTAGGCCTAGATATGGCCCATTACTAAGTTAACCGTTTCTTGATCATGTTCTTAACATTTGTTTTTATTATGCCTATTATCTTAATTATGCGTTATGCCTATTATCTTAATTTGATGTTTAGACAGTAAAGTTCTAGGCCATTGCTGGATTAACTAAGTTAAACCTTTTATGTTTGGATGCAATGTTTTTTAGGTTAGGCCTATACCTAGCTACCAATCCGACTTATTATTTATTTATTATTTCTTCTAACGTTTGAATTTATCATTAGGCCTAAGTTATGATGTTGTTAAATCAGATGTTTCAATTTTTTTTAAGAATTACATTGTATTATCACACACAAGATTTTTATTAAATATCCTTTTTCATCTGTGATTTTACTTTTTTTAGACTGGATAAATTTTATTAAATTCTTATTTTTCACTCTAAAATAAACGCATGAAATGTGTTTTATTTTATAGTAGCACACAAAACTATATATTGTCGATAAATTAATGTACAATTCTGAACTAGGCAATACTCTTTTATGGTGAAATTGTGCGAGCATATACCCCATGAATTTTTCAAAACTACCAATGAAAACCTTGAATTATGCATGAATTTTTTTATCTCACTTTGGTGGCAACCCTGGCTTTGTTCGGTGGTTTGTACTTAATTTTGTTAGAAAGTTTCAATGTAGTTTGGCGTTGTCTGTCAAGTTTCTTTAAAATTGAAGAATGGGCCTTTGTTTTTGTCGTATTTTGTTAATAATTTATGTTGATGTGAATAATTAAAATTGTTTTGTCTGTAAATAATAAGTGAAAGTAGATTAGTTTGTTAAAGCTACCACAAGTTGTGTCGTCGTCACTGTATGCGATTCCCTTACTTGAGATATCACAGAGGAAATGAAAATCAGGATTGACAAAATATAGGATTTAATTTAAAAACCAAAATGAGCTTGTGTTCTTTAGAAAATCCAAACAACAAACTAAAACTTGTTTACATTATTCATAAAACAATTAAAACACATGAAAATAACTTATGAAAACAAAACAGTATTTAAGCAATAAGTAAAACCAGTCTCTCAGCAAAAGTTATTTTAAGTATAGATTGAAGTTTTAACCAATGACTTTAACCAAAGAGTCATATAATGACAACTATCCTCTCAAAACCTTCAATATATATTTTGAAAATTTTAAACCTAGGTCTTAAATCTGGACCTAGATTCATTCCCGCACTTGAACCTCTTATTCTGGGAATATGTGGTGTTTTTCTTTTTTAGTGTCTTTCTCTTAGAAGGTCTTCCTTTCTTTCTCTACCGCTCTTCATTACTTCCTTCTTCACTTGCAGATTCTAAATATTTTCCATCATTCTTTTTCCTTACTCTTCCACTACCTTCACCAATACTCTCAGATTGGTTAACCTGCTGCAACTTCTTACGATATCTCAGTTCTTACAACTCTCTTTTTTTGGTTTTCCTTTCTCTTTCCACCATTTGTTGGTAGTGTAACAGACAATGCTGCCTGTTGCAGTGTTTGGGGGCCATCTTGTTCCACTGCCTGATCATCAGTTCTTGTTCCTTCCCTCTCATCGTATCCTTGGCCTCCTCGAAGTATTCACACGACGTAACATTGAACGCAGGTTATCTCGGTGTCCGTTGTGGTTGATGTGACCCCAGGAGAATCGGTCCGATGCAGGATCCCATCCTCATCTCTTGAGATCGCCGATGAGTCCTCGACCATCTCTGTCCGTCTCAAGATCTCTTCTGCACCTCCTGTGATGATCGATGAGTCCTCGACCCAGGGACGTATTTAAGTATCTGCCGCCTCTAGGCAACGAAGTTTGCCGCCCCCCCCCCTCCACAACTTGTCAACGCACTCCCCAACCTCACTAATGGCCTCAATGGCGAATACATGCCCTGTCAGCTGATTTTGAAGTGTCATCATACTAACTTGTCTGTCACCCAGGAAAAAAATGAGGATCAGTTTCTGTCTGTAACCTTTTAACCTCAGTCTTTCAACCTTTCAGCTAGCGCTGCCGCTGCGTAGTGGCGTATGAAGTAAACAGGGGGAAGTCTTTTCTTTGTTCGCCTCCGTCAGACCAATAGGGCAGCACGAAAAACTCAGCACAGCTGTGTAATAAACTATTGACTTTTGTTTTACTTGAACTTTAACGCGTTCTGAAATAATTGTATACTTAATCAAAATATTGCAAATGGCTGTTTTGCCGTTCCCACTGTTCCCAGAATTATTTGCTAAACTTTTGTTTAGATTAAAACCTCCCTTTTTATTTTTTAAACCCCTAAAATTTTGCCACCCGTAAAATTTGCCTAATCCGCCTATTCGGAAATATGTCCCTGCTTCGACCATCTCTGTCCATCGCAGGATCTTCTCTCCAACTCCTGTGATGACCAATGAGTCCTCGACCCTCTCTGTTGGTCGCAGGATCTCTTCTCCATCTCCCAAGATGGCTAATGAGTCCTCGACCATCACTGTCAGTCGCAAGATCTCTTCTCTATCTCACAAGATGGCTGATGAGTCTCCGACCATCTCTGTCCGTCGCAGGATCTTCTCTCCAACTCCTGTGATGACCAATGAGTCCTCGACCATCTCTATTGGTCGCAGGATCTCTTCTCCATCTCCCAAGATGGCTAATGAGTCCTCGACCATCACTGTCAGTCGCAAGATCTCTTCTCTATCTCACAAGATGGCTGATGAGTCTCCGACCATCTCTGTCCGTCGCAGGATCTTCTCTCCACCTCCTGTGATGACCGATGAGTCCTCGACCCTCTTTGTAGGTCGCTGGATCTCTTCTATATCTCCCAAGATGGATCATTAGTCTTCAACCATCATGAGTATTCATTATGAGTATTCATATTTAAAAGGATGGTTTACCACAGCACTATTTTTTTTTTTGCATTCATGACAACAGCTAATTTAAAATAATAGCAACAAAAAACTGTGATACATAATGGGAACTGCCAAAGTAGGATTTTTACAGTTATATGTTTTTAATTTAGTAAATAATTTGTGATATGTGGGAATGTTTGATAATTTACTTTTTCCTATTGTTTAGGTGCATTGGTAGAACATTATAATGTTGAATTTGTGTTTTTATGTTTGTTTCAGACTGTTACAGCTAGATGTAAATTCACCAAGATCAGACTTAGAAGAGAAAGATGAAGAAGAAACACAAATGTTTTCGTTAGAAGATTCAGCATCAGCAAGCAATCCCATAGCTGATGCCTTAGATCTCAGTTTGGGAGTGATGTTTGAGTATATCCACATTCAATGCCATCCTGATGGTAAAACAATCTGTTGGCAAAGGACTAAAGCACTTTACACAGATATTCTGGCAGTGTTTGACAAAGTTATTCTCCCTACTCATGCGTCACATCATGTTCAATTCTTAATATTTTTTTTGTTGAGTTTCAAAAACAATTTGTTACTCTGGTTCTTGCAGTATTTATGGCGGAAAGTGATAGATCCAAACGTATTTCATGTGATCCGACAAGCTGCAATTGGATACATAGCTAGTTTACTGTCAAGAGCAAAATATGTTCCAATCAGGTATGTAGCATGGAAATACCCTAGGTATACAGTATAACAGAAGCGTCCATATTGCAAGGATTTGAGGGCCATAAGTAAAATGCATTTAATGTAAACTAGGGACGTGTTCATTCTCGTTGCTGAGAACTCAAATACCACCGATACTTAGACATTAGTATTGATTTTGAATAGTGATATTTATGTAGATACCAAAATTTATCGATTCTCGATACCGATTACGAAAAAATCGAATAACTTACTTATTTCTTATTCGATCTTTTTGAACTTAATAGGGCATCGTTTAATAGGGAATTTAAAATGCTAAATAAAAGGGTTCTTGGCATTTTTTCATAAAAAATAGCCGCTTTTGAGTAATTTAAGTCAAAAAAATTAAAAGGCGGCCATTTTGGAATTTTAAGTTGAATCAAGATGATTTTCTTTCTAACATGGGCTCTTCTACCTTAACCTACATACCAAGTTTTATAAAGATCGCTTGATAAAATCCAAAAATAAAAATGTTTATGTAAAAACTACAAAATGGCGGATATCTGGTTAACACGTTCAGTGCGGCAGGCATTCCAACAGGCGCTCGCCAATGGCAGCGAGGCCCAGGCGAAGCCCCGGCGCGGCACCGTAACAGCGAACGCAATTGGCATTCAAATATTTTAATCTGACGAATAACAAAAGAGCAGCGATAATTGTACTATGTTACCCCGAGATTGGACGTAGTTCCCTAAAAAACCCAAAGGTAGCAGCACTGCCCGGATCAGTAGTCAATGGCTTTGTAATGTGGCTTGAAGAGAGAAAATCCCCGAAACTGGGGCAAAAGCAATAAAAGCATTGTCAGACGGGATTTTACGGGAAATTTTAGTACCAACCTGCACCAAAATAAAGCTCACAATTTTAAGCTACTCAACAAGGCTAGCAACAATTTTAACGTTCCCCTGCAATGGCTGAGCTCATACTGAACTAATGTAGTGGGGATTGCGCAACTACATCAATTGATGAAGCGCTCAATTTGATAGGAGCGCTCGTTTCGCGACTACATCAATTGATGTAGTCAGCACCGAACATGTTAACGAAGCGATTTTGGAAAAAATGTTATTCTTGATTTTCTCTTTATTTTGACGGGTATAGAACCATTTCCCGGAGTTTGGCTGTTTACTTACGTGACACCCTATATCGTAGGCTAGGCCTATGTGTTTTTGTATTAAAAATTTAAGCCTTAAATTTTTTCAATTCTTTGACAAACGTGAATGATGTTAGGCTTTTGTTTATATATAAAAATATGCAGAGCCCTCCCACCACCTATGAACACCAGCCAAATATAGTTTCCCCACTAACATGAATCCTGATATGAATCTGCTTCTTACAAAAAGTATTGTATTGTATTCATGTATTGTATTTATAATAGATGGGTGAACGATGTGAACAAATGTGATATTTGCCGGCAATTCTTAATAATTGATTGCTTTTCTTTGTCAAAGGAAATAGAATAGTTAAAATTGTGTTAAATTTTAACTGTTTCCTGACATATATAATAAAGTATTAACTAATTAATTTATTTAACTAGCAGACACAAAATATAACTCTCTGCTTGTGATTAATGTCAGATGAGCTATATCTGCAACACTGATGCTTAGTTTATAGCAACAAATTTGAATTGAGACTTCTTTAGTGTTTACCAACCCTAACAGATTATTGTTTGTCTGTATAGTGCAGTGAAAGACACGTTGACTCAGCTGAGTTCTTGGATCCACGGATACATATCCAACTGTGATGCACAGACCAGTTGTGACCCAAGAATTCATTCTGTTTTCTACTCAGCCTGCCAAGCGCTTTTCTATCTTATAGCTTTCAGGCACAAGGAGATTGTGCTGAATAGTCCAAAAGGTAATCATTTTGGTTAAAACTTGTATTGAAATGAATAAATAAACTTAAATAAGTGTTAGAGAATGTATGTCTAATTAAATTGTACGAGGGGCATTTCTTAAGTAAAGGCCATTTTCTGTATACAGCTAAGTATTTTTAATGTACGCTAACTAGGCAGCAAAGTGGCATCATTTGTGAACAGAATTGGGCCATTTTGAACTCTGTAGCTGATGGGTACTCATCAATATTTTTTAAAACTATTGAATCCCCCACTGCATGAGAGATTGGTCAGTGATTGGTTTTTGAATGCAAGCAACACACCCAGTGCAGACCTGCATTGCCAGATGACTGAGGTAATATGGCCCTAATGCAATGATAAGTAAGGGTAAAGTGCTGAAATAGTAACCTATTTCCGCATTTCCAGGGGTATAAAAATGGCTGAGTTTTGGTGGGTACCAAAACTTCAAAGTAAAGAGATTAGGGAGTGTATTGGATTTTATTATGTGTTGCAAAAAGGGGATAAGATGTTGACTAAAATCGTTACTGGAGACAAAACGTGTATCCAATATCATCCCTGAATCCAACCATTCATGGAATAACGGCACTCAACCTCTACCGTCAATTTCAAAGCCGAAGCCTTGTGTTCTTTATCATAGAAATTTTCACAGCCATGTGTTAGGCAGACTTAGAGATAGATAAAAAAGAAAGAATGGTTATGAAACTAAACTCCATTTAATACTTCTTCCTGAAGAAACCATCTTCTTAAAACATGACAACCAGTTAATTGTATTTTTAACTTTCTGTGCTACCAACTGCATGGAACTTTTTTCTTATTTCTGTTGGCTGTGCACTTTCAGGCTCAATTAGTGTGGTCCTACTTGAGAGAGATAGTCAAGTGATGCACATTGGACCCCTCTTATTTATGTACTGTTGAAATGAGTTTTTCATGTATACAGTTATGATGTGAGGAGTTATTGACACACTATATCCCTTAAAATATCATTTCAATGTAAAATTTACTAACTAACTATCAAATCATGCTTTAACTAAGTTTATGGCATCAGCAAGAAATAAGATTATTATATTTTGATTTTAAGTTTGCTTTACAGTTAGTCAAGTTTATCCTACCGCCCCCATGTCTGCCTAGCCAGCCAGCCACAAAAGCAGAGCTCCTAGATTCTGGTGAAGAGGCTATCACATTCAAACAGAATTTTTTTTGCTCAGTGAGATTTCTTTGTAAGGTATTTTAGGGATGGACGAGATTGGATTTTTAGTTCGAGACGAGATTTTTTATTTCTCATAAAATTTTGAGACGAGATCGAGACGGGATTTCCCTTCTCATACTCAACGGGAAATGCACATTCAAAATTTTTACCTGATTTTGTAACATTGTTAGATGACTGTTTAAATACAAAAATAATGATAATAGGCAAGAATATTTACAATCTTTTATAAAAAAATATCAGCATAACATTTTTTTATTAATCACGCCTAATTTATTAAAAATGCCTACGATTAGGAAACATAGTGATATCAGTTAGGATAGAGTTCAACTTATCCTAAAATAAAATAAATCATAAAATAAAAGCAATATTAATTTTTATAAAATAGTTACTTGTTTTGACTTTTTATAGTAATAAAACATTCCTCACACTGCTTACACTTAACAAAACTTCTCAAATGTTATTAAAGTAATATTATTAAAATAATTAAAGTAATATTCACATTTAAAGAATTAATTAAATAAGAACACCTTCGCAAAGGAAACGCAACTACAACACGCTCCTGTATTGCGGGTATTGCATTGACTTTCTGCAGGCGTTTTAATTTTTTTTATTTTTATTCTCGTCTTGATAAAAATCTCGGCCAAAAAGAAATCTCGTCTCGTGTAACGAGATTTAAACATTCCCGAAAATTTCCCAAAATTTCGAGACTTGACCATCCCTAGTATTTATCCTGTCCTAGAAAGTCAGGAATATTAGTATAGCCCTCATGTCTTTGTGAATACTTGTTCCATTACCAACTGGTATTGTTTTTCAGGGTTGCAGTTCCTCCAAGGTTTAAACCTAGCCAAGGTTGTGTCTAGCCAGTTGAACCCTTTGAGAGTCTGTCTACCAGCTGTGACTAACAACTTTGCCTCAGTAGCCAGGCACTATCAGCTCGTCTACTGCTATACAGTCATAGAACACAACAGGCGCAACACCATCCCTGTGGTGTACCAAGACTCCACCTCGTCTGAGCATGTCTACCTCGACACTTTCTTCCCTTTTGATCCGTATCTGCTCACCAGGTAAGACCTGCATAAACTTCTTAGTTTTATTGAGTAAGAAAATGTATAAAATGAATACAAAAGATGTTAACGATTGCTCTGTGGTTGCGGAATATGTGTTTGATTTTATCGCAACTGCATGAGACAAAAGTGATGATTTTGCTGCAATTGCAGAAGTTGTTTTAAGGGATTTTAGGGGAAAAGTTGATTTTAAAAAATTGAAACTTTCCATAGTATAACTAGTTCTTTCCAAAACCAGATTTTGTCCCCAGACCTGTAGGTCGACATTTTTACAGGACCCAAATTAAAATAGTATTGCACGCAGATCCCTACTATTTACTATTAAGAAATAAAATGGAATGATTTGTTAGCTAGTCTTCCCCTAGTCTCCTAGGTCTATTCACCAATCAGATTGTCAAAAACAAAGGGTCGAGTTTCATCAAGTTTAAGCAATGCCTTGAGAATTCTGGAACCCGAAGTTCTAGCCACCAAAGAATCAAAACAGATGAGAAGAACTTCTTTTGTGTGAGCTAGCTGCCAGATTCAGCCCTGTCCCGGCCTTAATAATATACTATACATGTAGTGTAATATACTACAAAATGAGTATATCATATAATATACACTTTATTCTTTAAACCACTTTTTCTATTCTACAACTTTCAAACTTTTATAACTTTCAACTTTTATAGAGCTTTCAAATTTTTATACAGTAATGATAAAATTTACTGCTTTAAACATAGTGTAACCTTTTGATTTGAGATGATGTCATGTTGCAGAACAAAGAAGTATGTGTCAGAGTGGTACAGGGAGTATGACAACTCACTCCCAGAGGAGCAGCTGGTCAAAGAGGGCAGTGGGGAGGGCGAAGATGAAGACGACTTCCTCATGGAACAATCTCCTGTCAACAGTCTTCAGTTTAGCTACGGCACTTCACCTGGCTTCAAAATGTGATTATTTATTGTTAATTTTGTTTAAATTAATAAATCAAAAAAATTTTATGTTGGATTATTTGTATTCTCTGTAAGAACAAAAAGCCCAAAGACGCATGTAGCTGTACATTACTTAACCTTCTCGAAAACATCTAGAAAGTTTTTGTCTTGATGTGTTAAGCTATCTTGAGCTACTAGGAAAAATAAATTAGACATGGAACTTTACGGAAAGTAAATAGAAATATGTCTAATAACACTCGAAAAATAGTGTTAGTTTTTGCCGATTTTTACAATTTTTTGTTTGGAAACATAAATGTATTTGAATGTTTAACTCAAAGACATGTTACATAAGAAGTTTAAAACTGTAAACAAAAAGCTATCAACAATAATTCAAATCTTTTTGCAATACTAGTTTACACAAAGAGGCGTAAAGATAAAGGCAAAAGCAGAAGTTCAAAGGTCGTGCCTTATAAACTTTAACGAGTGTTGTAAAGGCAAATATGTATGTGAGTTGCTTCACTACTTCACCTATAAAAGTTTTTTAATTACGTTTGTAAAACTTCATTACCTATACTCTTTCTGTTATCTTTTTAGGGAATACACCGGTTTACTATTGACTTTGGTGCAAGTAGACTTCTCATTGTATTGGACAATTGGAAACCTGTTTCTTGTTTTATATGGAAACTGTTGAGTTTAAAAAAATACAGGGTGATTCTAAATTGAGGCTGTAGTTGCTAAACAGGCCTATCTCGAAAACACATAATACATAGTTTGAGATAATCGCTGTTAAAGTTTAGAGGCTATGTTTGGCTGTCTACAATGGCAGTCGTCTATGGCTAAATGGCCAGGTAACACCAGCTGACTTAAAGAGTCATTTGAAAAAAAAAAAACTGAAATACACCATTCCAAATGATCAAAGATTATACTAGAAGACACGAGGAAGCAAAATAGCAATCCTCCTCTTAAAGGGCCTGTCCTAAAGTTTTACCCAAAAGTCTTTGCTTAGGTAATGTTTGGCTGCTGTCAGCGTTGGCACTCATCTATGCTAAAAGGGCCTGTTGACACCAGCTGGCTTTCAGAGTCATACCAACCAAAAAAACTGAAATACACCATTTCAAGTGTAATACTAGATTTTACTAGAAGACGTAAGGAAGCTAAATAACGGATCCCATCTCGACTTAGGCCCTTTTAGCAGCTACAGCCTCAAATTATCGTTACACTTTTTAAACTCTATAAATGGAAAAAAAAAACTACAACCAATCATCACGGGGTGAGAATCAATTGAAAGAGGAGATTTTAAAGTTTTGTTGACACCACTTTGTTGGTAAGCGTAGTTGCAAAATTAGCCTCTACAGACAATTTAAAATATATGAAACTCTAAAACACAGAACACTTTTTGCTCTTTTGAAGCCTTGTGCCTTGCAGCTTACAATAATAACGGACAGCAATAACTGAGCAGTAAATTATAGAACTAATTGACCCCTAGCGGTATAACTTTTGACAACTCAACATACAGTATTGTCATTTAGACAGGCAAAAGCTGGAATTAATTTAAAATTGTCGTTAAAATGTAAAAATGCCTGTGGAGGCTAATTTTGCAACTACGTTTACCAAAGTGGTGTCAAACAAAACTTAGAGTTTCCTCTTTCAATTAATTCTCAACCCGTGATGATAGGTTGTGTAGTTTTTCATTTATAGTAGACTCCCTCTTATCCGGACTCCTCGGTACGGTATTCGGGTTAAACCGACGTCCCCAAAAACTTGTTTAAACGGACCGTTTAAATGCATTGCATACTGTATACAGTATTTGACTTAAATTTGGGAGAGCATTGTATTTAGACAAGTAATCACTGGTCTCAAATCTTTCCAACGAGAACAGTCGTTTCAGTACCGCCTACTTCCTGCTGATCTAGTCCGGTTAAACCGATGTCCTGATAAAAATTGTCCGGTTAAAGAGATGTAATTTCCGCCGAGTGTAGTCCGGTTAAAAAGTGTCCGGACAAGAGGGAGTCTACTGTATAGAGCTTTAAAAGTGTAAGCAAGATGTAAGCTCTAGAATTTTGTTAATTTAGATTTAGTTGGTAAAACTGAAAAATTTGTATTTAAATAGTAAAGAGGACGACTCACACTCCTGAATTGCATTCATTAGTAAATCTAAATACAGTTCCATTCACAACATAACATTTTAATTTAAAACACAATATATATATTTTATTTTATTTTAAACACATCTATATACAGGGTGTTCAGTGGCGTCATTTCACCAAATCCTTGGGGTGGGGGGCAAACACCGGGGGATGGGGGTTATGGAATACCCCCCAGCAAACAAGGGGGGTCCCCCCCCGGAAAATTTGGCAGTTTTGAAACAAAAAAAAGGGGTTTAAGCTTATTTCAATTGTCAAAAGCACTTCAAATAAAAAAAAAATTTTGGAAAATTTATTTTAATTTAGGCAGAAAGTTAATGAAACTAAGAATTATTGACAACAGACAGAAACACAATAATTTTATGCTGGTAAGTTAGTCTAGTCATCTAAGAAACGTGATCAATAGTTCCATGACGTATTAATAATATGTTTGTTATTAGATTCCTGACCAATTTCTCTTGTACAACATTTAGCAATGAATACGGTTGTTCATAGCCTATAGTTTATAACAGTTTATTTTGAATTTTAAATAAAATAGAAGTATTTAAGAACTTGAAAGCAATTCAAATTTTATCACGAATAAAATAATTTGACACAAAAGTACAAAAGGTTCTATTTAACTACATTAAATTGGTAGTCTACAATGTTCAAAATAAATGACGTAAAATTTATATACATGTATAATTTTAATGCTTTAATAATTCATAAAAGTAAATGACAAAGCAATGCTTCTAAAAAATCTGAATTTTTATGTATATATATATAATCTAGAAGTAAGTGGTTTATCGTACAGCACCAAACAGAAAAAGTAAATGAATAACAAAACTACTAATTTATATAAACTCAAAATGTGCTATCTAAGACAATAAAACAATAATAATTTTTGTTTCAAATTACTATACAAGAATATACAGATTTTTGTCTGCTGTACTTTTTAGGATTTGACAGGAGAAAATATTTGTATATTGGCTAGTACAGCATATTTTTTTTTTGCCCAGGATCCAGGGGGGGGCAAATGCCCCCCCCTGCCCCCCCCCAAATGACGCCCCTGAGGGTGTTCATTTGAAAACTTTCCATATCTGTTGTGTGCAAAGGTAAGGCTTTTAATTAACACTTGTTTGTTCTCATATCCCCCTAATTTGAACATGCCAAATCCAATAAAATTATTTTCAAGTTAAAAAATGCCCCAAAAGGGCCCAATTCGGGGGTAGGGGTGCTTTTTGAGAAATTTTCAAATGTAAACATGGGTTGTGTGATACATCAATTTAAAAGTCTAATCACCCCGATCATTTTGGTGCAAAAAAAATTAATTATCTTTAACCGTATTTACAGGGTGGGTCAAAATGATTTAAAAAAGGACTTTGAAGTTAACTAACGTAATACCCTAACTACTGAATGGAACAGTGCCAAATTTATTTACAAGCTTATTCTTGAGCTACTCTTTAAGATAACTTGTAGTAAGGGCTCAAATTTGAAGAATAAGAGAAAGACAAAAACTCAAAATTGTTAAATAGCAAGGTACAACAAATTTCATATCATGTGAAAGGTCCTTGTTAAACAAACATTTTACGTAATTAAGTTTTCTGTCTATCTTACCGTTTAAATATTGCAGTAGAAAAACAGAATTTTCTATGGTAAAATTATAATTAGTTTTTTAATAAAACACATTGCACTTTGCTCAAAGATGTAGTAGGATTAATTACAAATTGATCAACTAGTATTACTTGTGTCAGTTCATCTTTGACCGTTCATCCTGTTCTTTTGCCATTGGTAACTGAGCCAGTTTTAGAAAACTCCCTAATTAAATCATTACAGCTGTTTGACTCAAGGTCTTACCTGGATATTTATTGTTAAACACTTTGCAGTTATCCTGGAACACCTTTGTTCTGCCCAATACGTAAAAATAGTCTTTTTTAAAGTGTACACCATATTCGATTAGGTACAACAGAAAATAGTACTTTTGAAATTAGTACTACCATTGACTGGTCAAAGGTACTACAGAAAGCGGCCCACGTTTGGGATTTTCTCATCAGCTACAAGACTTGTTTTTCACAAAGTAAAACGTAATAACTTGTTTGTCTATCTGTCTATCAATAATTATGAATTGTTTCAAATTAGGGGGAAATGAGAACAAACAAGTGTTAAAAGCCTTACCTTTGTACACAATAGATATGGAAAGTTTTAAAATGAACACCCTGTATTAACAGGCAAGCATGTTTCTTAAAAACCTTTTTTCTCAGCTCTTGTGCATCGTAGGGAAAATCTACGCATACTGTTAAAAGCTATTTTCCTGAAGGTGTGCAGAATCCCTTTATAAATTAACCCTCGAGCTGGCATGCGCCTGATATCGGGCGATTTACGCCGCGGCCGAAACGGCAGCATTTACAACGTAATGGAAATCGCTGATTTTTGCACGAAAATGAAAAAAAATTCACTTAAGGTATTTATTCGGTTCAGAAATGAACAATCTATCAATTGATGTGCATTTCAACTATTTATACGCCTTTGGGAAAACTTAAAACTCAGCTGACGACATTGTCATGGTGACGCAATCGCTTATTACCAGCGTCTGTTGTTTATTTCGTGTTGTGTTTGGTTAGTTTCGGTGTTTCTTCGTTATAAGTTTTATTTTTTAATGAAGTGTGAGTTGATTTCACTTCAAGATGACTGATTGTAACTACTGTGACCGATCTAGTGAGTTCCAATTCTAAGTAGCGAGGAGACATGCAATTCAAGTACTAGGCCTAGTGTAGGTTCTACACCGAATATGTATATCTTAAGTAAAAACTGTTAAATGTATTTTTTTTAAACAAGGTACATGTATTATATATCATTCTTTTCCTCATGGAATTCTGCACAATTTGTATATTTTGAAAAACTATTTTGAGTTCATTGATTTGTGTTATATTACGTAATTATATATGCATATAAAAAAAAAAGTTTCTGCTTAGTAAATATAAAAAAAACATTTTCTTGTAAATTAAAATTTCATATCCTAAATTTATATAATATTATTCCTTGTTTTTTGCTGAAAAAAATGATATATCATATTTAATATGTTTTCTGGGTTATTTATATATTTTTTTAAGTTTTTTAAAAAATGGTTGCGCAGCGCCTAAAATACCCTTGCCACGACAGAGTAAATTGACTGCAGGCTCTAGGGTTAAAATAGGCTCAAAGATAATAACAACAAATTAATTTGAAATTAACAAAAGATTAACATGGGTTGCCATGCTGGTGACGAAATAACAATTCAATAATATAAACAGAAAATAAAAACAAACGAAAGAAATTCCAATCACATGTATACTTAAAAAATGTGTACTGTAAAATATAAAATCAAAATAATAACATAATCAAATTTTTAGTTCTCGATGGTGGTGAGACTGATTTTGTACTGATTGATTGTGTGTTGTACGATTATTATATATTCACTTACTCTTTGTTTGGTAAAATTTCAATAATGTTACTGTATTATTTGATATTATAAACTTCAGTGACTTTCAAGTATCATTCTGAAATGATTCTACGGCGAACATTAACTCCTGGCCGGGTTGAAAGAAGAAACCGTAACCGTCTCGATAATATGAGAGTTGATCAACAAGATGTAGTTATTCTACCGAATTTGATGGATAGTTTTAAATGCGTGTAAGAGAAGTGCCTCGGGAGTTTTGTGGCTCAGACATTGGACTTATGAACTTATAATGCAGATTTTGCTATGGGAACCACTTCTGGTCCAAAGCCACACTACGTGATACGACGACATTCACATCATGTTGCCACATAGGCAAAATTGTTTTACAGCCCTTGATACAAAATGCTTTTTTCAAGACACTTTCAAAAGAAATCCCTTTCACATGTTTTATTTACAGCGTGGGATGAAAATACTGTAGTCTGTACATCACAAATTTGTGGTTGAGTATTCGACCACTGGCCAACCTCTAGTTTTATTTATTAAACACTTTGTCAATCAATATTATATGACAAAAAAAAACTGGGACGAATGTAAACAGCTGCTTACATAAATAAGTAAACAGATTTCAGCCATAATATTTCAGGTAATCTTGATGAATACCATTCAGCAAAAAAAGTGCTCCTAGCCTTCTCCTAGCCCAGTGATTTTGCGTGCAAAGCTCTGTCCCTCGGTATCCCTTGCTGTAGTCAACAACAGGATAACATTATACATAAAGTGGCTACAATTGAAGAACATTAAACGACAAATTGCTGGAAAATAAATAGGCTTCGGCTTGAGTTATCTAGTGTTGCTGAGAGTAAGAACTATCGAGGGCTTGCTGATTTTCGATAAAGGAAGTTTAAATTTAATAATTTTTAGCGAATTTCCCATATAGGGAATAAGCTATTACCGTAGTACTCATGGTAAGACCTGGACCCGCGACCGATTTTTTTTTTCGTTTTGAGGTCCCTAGAGGCCAAAAACACCATCCGTTCAAATTCATATATATATCTTACTAATATTATAAATGTGAAAGTTTGTGTGTTTGTTTGTTTGTTTGAAGGTCAATCACGCATTAACTACTGGACGGATTGGGCTGAAAATTGGCATGATGATAGCTCACATTTCGGATTAACATATAGACATATTCTTATCTCAAAAATCCTTTCGGGCTCCGCCCCAGTGGCTCTGTAGTTCCCCATATTAACCTTATGATTATTCATATTTAAAGGGAATTAAATAATTTAGTCAGCTGTTTCAACTTAGAAAGTTGGTTCTATGGTATGCAAAAGCATTAAAAATTGTAAGATTTACCAACAGGGTGCAGCACTTTTACTTTTTTGCATTTATGGAAACAGCTAATTTGAACTAAGCAACAACTAAAACCTATGATAGGTATGTAATGAGAACTGTCAAAGTAGGATTGTTTACAATTACTTTTATGTTTTTAATTTCATGAATCATTTGTGATATTTTGTGAATCTTTAATAGTTTATTTTCCTCTATTGTTTAGGTGAAGTGGTAGAATATTATGGCTATGGTAGATGTGTAATACTATAGTATACAGTAAATTTAAAGAAGCAAATTTTATCAAATCGCGTCCTCCCCCATTGCAAACGCAAAGCTTGAGTATAACTGCAGTAAGCATTTTATACTTATATACCAATCCCGTACGAAGGACGGGTACTCTGCTAGTATATATATATATATATATATATATGTGTCCATTAGTGCGATAACTCGAGCAAAAACGATCCGATTTTGATGAAATTTGGTACAAACGTGTAAACCTACGTTTATTCGAACGAGATTGCGAACCAGCATGATCGGACCATGGGAACGGGGGTTTATGGGGGGTTTTATGGGGTAAAGATGGTTTTTCCCCACTTTTGACTCAAAAAACATAAAATTTTGCAATTTCTTTCCAAACTATTTTGTAGAGCTTAAAAAAACAAATAATTTAGTATATTGAAGCGTTATAATGCACCTAATGGTTACGGAGAAAATTTCAAAAAATTGTAAACTTAAAATTCCCATATTCTTATGGAGAATAAGTAAACTGTTGTAGTTTGCTTGTTTATTAACATTTTTTGCCCAAATTTGGAAAATGTTTTTTATTTCTTACTAACTATTAACATTTTACATAAAAAACACTTTTACCCTCCCTGTTGCAGCAAACCTAAGTATGTGTTAAACTGATTCTATTTAAATAGGGAATAAATGTGATATTTTTAAGGAGACATTTTAGTGTAAATCCAATCAGGCAAATGGAAATTCGCTTAGTCTGCAGGTTTGTTGCGGCGGGGGTATTTATTATTTCAGTGTTATACACACCCTTAGCATTGTTTGTGTTTTTAAAGGGAGCAGTCCAAACCAAGGTCTTATTACCATCATAGATTGAAGGGTCTACTTCCTAATCTGTGTTACTATCTATCATCCTTTTTTTAGATAGCATTATTTATGCCTAGCCCAATGATAAATGGCATCTGGGCCTGAAAACGATCTTACTTGGAATCAAACCAGCGGCCTTCTGATGTGAAGACGAGCACCATAACCTGTTGGCTACCCAGAATGTTTGAGCATTTAAATATTTACAATTACACAGTTACAAGCATAATCAAGAACTATACATGGGCAGTAAAAAAAAAGGACATACGCAAGAAGATTGTGTGTAACAGCGGGTTTAGATACTTATTAAGTTTGGTATTGATTATTACAAGTTTTATCTAGCTGTTAAGTGGTAATCTATACAATTTTTAAATATATAATTCTGTTAAAAAAAGTTTTATTTGTTTTGTTTGCTCCGCTCAATTGGCTAACCCAAGTATGCATACCTACTTATACTTTATTAACCTTCTGTGGAATGTTTTGCTCAAACCTAACCATGTACTGGAAAATTAAGTGTGTAAGCTGATTTGTACCGTTAGGTTTTCGCATGCTACCTAAAACATTAAACACTCAGGTTTACACAATTGATTGTAATGAATAATTTGTTGTATTTGAGCTAAGACTGGATTGAATAAATATAGAATATTATAAACAAATATCTTTAATCTTCTTCTTTTAAAGCGTAAGGATCTATGTTGAGTTTCTGTATGTTGATGGTAAAGTTGGTGAGGACCAGTGGAGCTGACTCCTTCCTCAGGGAGAGTGGTGGGGAAGTCACTGTGAGTTCCGTCACTGTTGGTCCGTAAATATCTGAGATCAATGTCCTATGGTTCGACAACACTGGACCTGGACTTCTGTAGTTGTTTCTTGCTGAGTTGATCAGAAGTGACTCCAAAGCTGAGACCCCTCCTGAAGTAAAAACAAACATTAATGGTGTTCCAATTTAGGTACCAAGGTTATTGGAAAACAAAAACTGTACTTTTTTGTTGAATTAATTAATTAGCTTCCTTCTTATATATTTCTTTATCTTTGTACCAAATCTGAATTTAACCAGGCATTTGACACAAAATTTAACAAGTTTTGAATTTTTAGTTCATAGGAGTTGGCTGTCTGTGAGGATATTCACTAGTGTTTAGTTTATATAGTCAACGGCAATAGGCTACTGGTGCTACCGCTGATGGCTGTGTAAGTTAGTAGCTAGCATACAATTTGACAACCAGGAACATGAAATCAGCTGTTTCCCCGTCCTCGCTGTCACGCTCGTCGCCCACCTTTGCCCTAGCATGTCAACAGCTGACTGCTGTAAAAATCGGATGATGCGTACAACTTTCCATAGCGTAATATTGTTTTATTCATCATGCTATTGCCCCAAAAAGTTTTTCTATGTGGAACTTAGTACTACTCCTGCCATTGCTTATTTAGTTTAATAAAAACTACATTGATGTCTGTTTTATGACATCGCGTGTTTTAAGAAAGAAATGTATGTTTAAATTTATTTTTCCAGGGTCCAAGGGGGGCTTTAGCCCCTGTAGCCGGCTACCCCCTTGGAACCGCCACTGATACCGTATGTGGCTTAGCGTTTTCTGTCTGAAGTCTTCTAAACAAGACAGCTCAGTGCCATGATCTTCATATAAAAGTTTAACTCAGCATTGACCAAATCTCCTAAAGACCACAAAAAGCCACTCTACACCATGACATTTTCATATCTTGGAAGTTTCGATCTATTTGGATTTGGTATACTCATTAATTGTCCATGACAAAACAATTAATTTAAATAAAATATTATTCTTGTTCAACAATCAGGTCAGATGGTTAGGGTTATCTGAGAAAACAGTGAAAAAAGTTGCTCACCCATTTTCTTCACTAAAGATATTAGTTGGAATAAAATATGGAAGTCCTCTTTAGTGAGTTGCTGTGCAGCTTGTTGTGGATCAGCAGAGTTGGTTGGTGGATAGAGCTGGGACAGACCTGCAATTGATTAGTGTATCAGTGAACAAGAAGAAAATCCCTTTATTGATCACTTTTTTTTCTTGTCCAAGCCGTTGGCATTTTTAGAGATGAAAGAGAGTGATATTCATTCAAATGCTTATTGGGAAAGTGGCCCAAACCCATATGTTGTGTGGGTGTGCCGGATATTAAATGCGACCCATCTCCACTGAGGTCTGAGATGCTAATCACCACTAGCATTGAGTATACACGTACTAGAGTAGGCACTCAATGGAGGCTACCATTACCTGAACAGCGCAGGTAGTGTTGCAGAGTGGCATCAGCGGCTCGAACTACTCCACCTCGGGCATTTTGGTTGTTTTAGCAAATTCCCATATAGGAAAGTAGCTATTACCGTAGGTGGCACGGTAAGACCTGGACACTGGACCAATATACTTTTTCATTTTGATGTCCCTAGAGGCCAAAAACACCATTCGTTCAAATTTTTATATATGCACCATGAGTTCGCGTACCAACATGATTGGACCATGGAGCTTTATGGGGGTTTTATGAGGTAAACTTGGTTTTTCTCATTCTTTTCGCCCTTCAAACACAAGATCTCCCAATTTCTCTTCAAACCATTTTAAAGAGCTTAAAAAAACAAATCATTTAGTGTATAGAATTGTTTTTGTGGTATAGAATTATTTTTGTGCAGTTATCGGTTACTTAAAAAATCCAAATTTATTGTAAATTTAAAATTCCTATGTTATTTTTATGCAGGATAAGTAAACCGTTGTAGTTTGCTTATTTCTGGGTATATATTGATCAAGCTTGGCAAATTTCTTTATTTTATACTAAGCTATTAATAATTGACTAAAAACTCACTTTTTTCCCCCAGCTCTGGAGCAGCAAACCTAATGCTATTTAAATAGATTTAAGTTTGAGTCAAATCAGGCAAATGGAAATTTTCCAAGGCGCACTGCACTGCAATACCAACTGACTACTGCAACCCAAACTTCAGCGGCCCAAACTACGTCGCCAAAGTTGGTAACAACTATTAGAATTATCTGTCCCCTCTTCTATGTATATACTCAATGCCAATAGTCTGTAATGGTTCAAAAAATAAAATGCGGTTCTAGGACTTTTGAAGACTGTATAGTGTTATATGAATTAAAAACAAATAAAGGTAATAAAGGAAGTATTTAATTGAATACACTATCGATCTATGCTCCTTTCACAAAACTTAGGCAGTGTTAGGGGAAGAAATCACTATCCCCTCCATGTCTTGATCCTACCATTAAAACATAGCTCAACAGCTGAGATTTCTCAATCAGCTGCTACATACAGTAAGCATACAAAAGTGGTGAGGGAGCTTCGTCCTCAAAACGCCTAAATATTGTGAACGGAGTATAATATATAATGTGTCAATGATATAGTTTTTATGTAACCTTCCATTGGGTTTTCAGAGGTTTCTTTTAATATGATGAAGTTTATTTCAAGTATAGTAACAAAAATGCTTAACATTATATCGTTTTTGGTTTGGATTGAAAAAAACAAAATTTTTGGGAGTTCACTTTGATAATCTTAGTTGGGATTTGCACATCGACCATCTTTTAGCAAAAATAAATTCAGGGATTTGCGCTTTGGATTATTGTTTTAAGGAATGTTTTTCACACCCATGAGCAATGTCGTATATCTTAAGGAATTTGTGTACATAGGAACAACCAAACAAAACCTTGATAACATTAAGTTAGTCAAAAAAGAGCATTGAGAGCCATGTTAAAAATCTTAAGCCTGATGAGTCTGCAAAGCAGCGATTCATCGAACAAAGAATTTTAACCGTTTACAGTTTGTACATCTTATAATGTGTTACACATGTTAAAAATAATAAAGATAATTTTGTAACTCATAAGGACATAAATACTAGAGATAAAAGTAGTATAGTATTCCCACTCTGAGCTTTTTAAAAAGAAACCATCCTATGCCGGTTCTGTATTTTTAAAACACATCTTCAAAGAAATACTGATAATAAAAAATTGTAAAAATGTAAATATGCACTTTAACAGTTTTTAATAAAAAAATGTATTTTATTCAATCAAAGAGATATATAAATTAATTTATGTAAAGTAAATTAATAAATTAAGTTCAACTATTCTAAAAATTATATGAAATATATTAGGTCAGTTTTAAGTTTAAACTACTGTGAAACTATTTATTGTATTTTATATAGTACACGAACAATATTAAAGACGTTTTGAATTACTTAGCATGATATCCAAACAAGCATACATCACAACATCACATATAATATTGCCAATCAGCCAGCCTTGACTTGCCATTAATACATGTAATGATCAAGTTTTTAATGACGACCAACACAAGGCTGCATCACCTGTGATGCTACCCAGACCAGTTGGCCTCGAATATCTGAGTCTTCTTCCTTCTTCTGATTGCCTCGGTCATTACCTCTAATGGGGTCGAAGGCTCCTATTTTTACTGTTTATGGAATTAGTTTAAGAAAATGATGCTTCAATTCAATTTATAAAACATCGTAAAAAACACAGTTTTTCTTCAGTAGAATTTTTTATTCGATTTTTTTCTGGATTTTAATAGTAAAAAAATATTACAATTTGAATTTAGTTAAAAATTCTAAAGGAATTAAATTGGTTTATACCTTCTAAAAATATATGTTTGTTTTAATGACAAAAGTGGTTAAAATATTGTATTGTATAGTACTGTATGCTTTTAGGTGACTACATAATCGCTTTTTGGTTGATTTATTTAACTAATTCTGAGGCTAAATGGTGTAGAATCAAATCCAAACACAATCATATTCATTTGTAAGCTAAAAGATTTCTTTTAATGTTAAGCCTAAAAAATCAAGGTAACAAACAAAATAATAATACATTTATTAGATTAAAATGAAATAATATAACAGTTTGTTATGGTACCGGTAACGTTAAATTAATTGTGACAGCGTACCTGCTACTGAGCTTCTTGTGAACAAAGTGAACATGAATAAGATTACCAGCCGCATCTGTAACAAAACGTGATGAGGCTATTTTGATGTTGCATCCCAATTCTTAAACTAACTACCAGTATTTTAAAAACAAATATTTTTTACTCTACATTTTAACAAATATTTCATCATTCACTGAATATGATATCAACAATTAAAAATTCAAATGGAAAAAAAGACTAGTCGTATTTTTTATTTGCTAGAAACCAATGTTCATTATAGGCCTACTTGAGGGAGAAAGAGTAGTTGCCCCTGAACCCATGACATGATGTGCCTTTAGCCTTGGAGTGGTGCCTCTTCCTCATTCCTTGGTCAAAATAATGCAATCAGAAAAATTAGTTTTTAAATGTCTGCTTTGTTTGTTGTTTTGATAAATACTAGAATGTTTGTTGAATAACAATTAAATACTTCCGCCAAAGCAAACCTTCAGACGAAGCCAATTTCAATTTGTCTGATGGATTTTTACTAAAATATTTCCATAAACAAGACATATTTATTCCCCCCTTAAATTACATTAGATTTAACGGGTGCTTAGGTTTACTACTACGGTGAAGGTAAAAAGTGTTTTTGACCAAACGATAATAGAATAGGATGAAATAGAAAAATTTTATTAACATATCCATAAACAAGTAAGCTACAACAGTTGTATTATTTCCATAACAACACTACATAAGAAAAACACTACCACATAGGAATTAAATGTACACGTTTTTAAATTTTCTCCGTTTACCTTACCTTTAATTTATACTTCATTAATACACAAAATCATTATTTTTACCAAATTTCCCTACAGGGAATAAGCTATATATTACCAGGTCTCATGGTAAGATCTAGTCCCGGGACCAATTTACTTTGTTGTTTTTAGGTCCCTACAGGCTAAAAACACTCTCCGTTCAAATTCATATTCATATATACAGGGTGATTGATATAAGTGTGCCAGCCGTTTTATTCGAAAACTATAAGAGATATCAAAAAAAGTTAAATGGTAAGTGCCTTGGCTTTTTTATTTAAAAAATTGTAGTCAAGTCAAAAAAATTATTTTAGCCGCCATTTTTCCAATATGGCCGCCAACTTTGATTTTTCTTATGGAACACCCTGTATTTTATGATGTTTTCTGGTAGAAAATATAATTTTAAGACGATTTTATTCTTGTAATTTTTTTCATAAACCTAACCGTTTCAAAGATAATAATTGTTTAAGTTGTGAAATTTTGAATGGTTTTCGAATAAAACAGATGGCCTCTTGTTTAGCTTGCCTTGCTTAGGCCTTTATCGAAACTCTTTCTCATGCAGAAATTTCAAAACTTTAACCATTATTATCTTTGAAACGGTTAGGTTTATGAAAATAATCACAAGAATAAAATCGTTTTAAAATTACATTTTCTACCAGAATACATCATAAAATACAGGGTGTTCAATAAGAAAAATCAAAGTTGGCGGCCATATTGGAAAAATGGCGGCTAAAATAATTATTTCGACTTTACTAAAATTTTTTAAATAAAAAGTCCAAGGCACTTACCATTTAACTTTTTTTGATATCTCTTATGGCTTTCGAATAAAACGGCTGGCACACTTATATCAATCACCCTGTATATAAAGCGCAATAACTTAAGCAAAATGTATCTGATTTTGATGAAATTTGCTACAACTTTGTAAACCTATGTTAATTCAAACGAGTTCGAGAAACAAGCATGATCGGACTATGGGAACGGGGGTTTTATGGGGTAAAAATAGTTTTTTTCCCATTTTTGACTCTAAAAATAAAAAATTGCACAATTCTTTTCCAAACCATTTTGTATAGCTTAAAAAATAAATAATTTTGTTTGTAGAAGCGTTGTTGTATTCTTAACGGTTACGGAGACAATTCAAAAAAATTGTAAATTTAAAATACCCATGTTATTCTTATAGAGAATAAAAAAAGGTTGTAGTTTGCTTGTTTATGGATATATTTTAATCAAATTTTATAATTTAGTTAATTTCATACTAAGCTATCAGCATTTCAATAAAAATAATACACCTCAATATCTTCCCTGTAGCAGCAAACCTAAGTACTCATTAAAATGAATGCTATTTAAATCTTACTAATATCATAAATCTGAAAGTTTGTGAGTTTGTGTGTGTGTTTGTTGCTCAATCACGCATAAACTACTGGACGGATTGGGCTGAAATTTGGCATGATGATAGCTCACATTCCCGATTAACATTAAAGCATATTCTTATCTCAAAAACCCTTTCGGGCTCCGCCCCAGTGGCTCTGTAGTTCCCCATGTTAATCTTATGATTTTTCATATTTAAAAGGAATTAATGAATCTTAACAGCTGTTTCAATTAAACAAGTTGGTTCTGTTCTATGATGTTCAATAGCATAAAAATTACAAGGATTACCAACAGGGTGCAGCACTATTATTATTTTTTTTAATTTATGACAACAGCTAATTTCTAACCAAAAGGTGAGTGAGCGTAGCGAACGAACTTCAACCTGGAGGCGAGTTAGCGTAGCGAACGAGCTAACCTAAAGGCAAGTGAGCGCAGCGAACGAGCTCCAACCTAAAGGTGAGTAAGCGTAGCGAACGAACTTCAGCCAGGACGTGAATGAGCCATGCGAATACTTATGAAGTTAAACGGGGCAAAGCCCGCGGGTACAGCTAGTAGGAAATAAATCTGACAACTTTAAGGGAGTATTTTAGTAGAAATCCAGCCAGGTAAATGGAAATTTGCGTAGTATGTAGCTTTTTTTTCAAATCTCTACATAAGTGGTTGAAATGAAAATTGGGCATTTCTATATTTTAAGGAGGAAAAATTGAAAAAAAAACAATTTTAGAAAATTTCAAAACCCTATAGTATCTTGTTCCTATAACCCAATAATCTTGCTGGCTATATCTTGAACTAATACCTTGAACTCATACAAGTTCATCCCATCCTACACCTATAAGCCAAATTCCATCAAAATGGGACCAAAATTATATTCAAGTTATCGTGTTCACGGATACACATAAATATAAATCTGAACGAATAGTGTTTTTGGCCTCCATGTCCAAGACATATGTCCGTATTGGTTAGGTATACGGTATCACAATGAAAAAGTAAATCAGTCCCGGATCTAGGTCTTACTGTGCCACCTACAGCTACTTCCCTATAGGTAAATTTGCTAAAACCATCCAAGAAACGCTTAGTATTGACCATTGATCTCAAGATATTAAGGTATAATTTTTTTTTTAGGGGGAGGAGGTAAAAATGCTTTTTCGCACACAGGTAGCCAGCCTGTAGTGTGAGACTCCTGAGCTACTCACTAAAAACCCCCTCTACTCTGTTGGCAGTGGCGAATCTAGAACAGTCTCAAGGGGAGGGGGGGGGGGGCGAACCGGGGGTCTGGAGGGTTTGGGGGTAACCCTCCTGAAAAATTTGTGTCAACTAAGTCACCAAAATGGCATTTTTTATACCATTTATTTGTCCAAAGTTATTGTGACAAATTATTTTACGCAATGTGTATACACTACTGTATTACATGCAGTAAAAAATATATGTATATGTATGCCCGAGGAGGGGAGCGGTCGCTTCTTCACCACCCCCTCTGGATCCGCCACTGCCTGTTGGACACAGACCTGGCATTGTTTGTCACATTACTTCAGGTCAGGTCAATGTGTGACCTAAAGGCTTCAAGGCTCGCGCCGTTTCTGGCATTCAATTTCTCTATGATCTAGACTGCAACCCGGTCAAGCTCTAGCTTCTTTGCGCGCAGAATACCCTGGACGAAATGTGACATACATGTCCAATTGTCCTCACCCACCAATTGTCATCATTGGAATGACCGTGTCCACAGACAACTGTCCTACATGTTGTTGAGCCTCCAGGCAGGAACCTTCCCAACGCTGGCAGCGGAAGAAGGTGTGCTCTGCGTCATCGGGAGTGCCCGGGCAGTAGATGCAATTGGGTGACACGGCTTTGCCCCTCCTGGACAGGTACGACCGGAAAAAACCGTGACCTATCAGAAACTGGGTAAGGTAATAGTCCACCTCACCATACCGTCGGTCAGTGACCGATTAAATCTATGTCAACCGTCAACTAATGACGAGAACCGTCAACCCATGGTTGGACTTGCTGAATCAGTCTCCTGGTCCGGTGTACCCACGACTCCTGTTCCCAGCTCTTCTGCCAGGTAGGCTCTCCTGGTAGGTGCGGTTGCGCTCCTCCGTTTCCCAGCTTTCTGGGTCCGAAAGGTGTCCAGCATATAGCTTTAATTGTCTCCTCCATGTCTCGAAGCTGGGTTTCGATGCTACTCTCTGCGTCAAGATATTCCTGACACAGAAGCACCATCCCTGAGCTCTCCGACTGCAACGTTGGTGTAAGGGGTTCCTCCGACAGCTCTTCACCAGACTTGAATGCTGGTACTGGTGTGGGGGAGACAGTAGCTCCCTTCACCAGCGAAGGTGCCAACGATATATTTTGCACCGTCAAAGGGGGTGATGTAGAAACACGCCCTCCCCTCTAAAACGCCTTCTCCTCTGACTGCTTGCCAAGCAAGACCTCCATGCTTTCTGAGGTTGAAAAATCCATAAAAATTGTTGCCAGCGCATCGCTCAGAAAGGGACGGCCCGAAATAACCAGGTACGGGTATACCCTCAGGGACGTAGCCCCTACCCCAGTTCCCCGGGGCCCGGCCTCTGTTTGCCTAGTACCGAGAATCCTGACGTACCAGGGGTCACCTGCGGCAGTGCAGAGCCCGACCTCTGCACCCATGCCGCACTCCCTGACTAGGGCCAGAAGGGGCTGGTTCCTGACGACACACCAGAGAGGCCCCATCGGCAGTGCGAAGTACAAAACAGCCCTTTTGCACAGAAAGTTCACTCCCAAGGCTCAATAGTAGGCGCCGGTCGAAAAAGAAGGAAAAAAAAACACCCGAAACAGGGTTGAAAAAAAAGAAGAGTAAAAGGAAAGATGAAAGATTTTGAGGTCCAAGCCAAAGGTAAGAAGCAAACTTGGCCTCAGAGAAAGTTGGGAGCATAAAGAGAAGGATCTCCCACCCTCTGTTAGTCGCCTTTTACGACAAGCCGAGGGAGGCTGCAGTCCTATTCTAATGCGGGGCACCGCACGGATAGGGTATACAATACAACCCTTCTATACGCTGTAGCTAATGTATTAGTTTTATCCAATAGTCAATGGTATTAGTCAAAAAGAAAATAGCCTACTAAAATGAGCCCCTCATAATATGGTGACACAGTCAAAATTGTGTTTTATCTTATTTTTTGATACATTGATGATATAAAAGATGCTACAATTAGTTTAGTACAATAGTATTTTACAATAAGTTTATCTTTCATTTAGGTGGGCTTAAAGTTGTGAACAGAAATCAGAGATTAACATCGGTGCACTCTGTCAGTGACTGAATTAACTATTTTTATTTTCTTCTAAAACTAACTGCAAATTTAATATGGGAATGGAATGTCTATCCACCGCAACAAATTTAACAGAAATAATATAATATAAGATATGTATAAAAGATCGTACAAATATTTTAGTTTATTACTAATCAGGTCACATTTAGTTTTAACATTTTCAAATTAGGCTGAACTTATTCTAGCCCTGGTATTATGACTCTTGAAGGAAATCTGTTTGAATTCAGCAATACAATACAACCCAAGTAATTGAGTATATGAGCTTGTTCGGTTTGATACTTCAGAAGTTTTGTCATTGAAAATTTTGTGTAGCAAAATGGTTACCTAATACATTTTTTGTTATGTTACTTTTATTTGTTATAGTTAATTTGTATTTGTAACTAAGTTAGCGCGTTGCTGCGCTAACAACTATTAATTTAAATGCTAATTTGTTCTTTACGATAAATAATAAAAATGTATACCAAAAACAAAAATAAAATATTTATTTTACCTAATTGCCAGTAAATAAATAAAGTTTTTGTTTTTTCATTAGGTGTAATAAATATATAAGTTTTTACGCATATCTACCACCACGAACATGCAACATACAGCTGTCCGTGTGAAAAGCATGCATTTTCTAAATTTAAACCGGCGATAGTCAGGGATTGCCCTTGTGCCTTGGTGATTGCTGAAGCAAGACACAAAGGAAATTGTAGTCCCTTGAATTCAAAGGGTAATTCGGTTGAAATCAATAGCATTAAGACTATTTCTCCTTTAAACTACCACTGATGATTGTTGATTTGATCAAGTTTGGTGTCATTTTTTTAATCGTCAGTCTGGTTATCCTTTGCACATCTTGGGTGGATTTAAGTTGCGCATTATTATTATTGGAGTTCCTTTTTTTAATGACAGTAATATGGTGGGTTGATGACAATTTGGAAGGCATTTGAATACCGTACCTGAGATAGCACGCACAATTATTATTTACTTAATAATTTATGTTACATTGTGTGGGTATAGAACAAAAGATAAAAATATTAAGGCATTGCCATCCCTTTTATTGTTTTAATACTTTGATAAAGGTTTTTACGTTTACATAGGTATTTAATTAATAGTGAAGAATTTTAACGTTTTTGAGCGGACAGGTGCGCTGCGATTGGGGTTTAATATATTTGGACTTTTCTAAAAGTAAATTGGTTTTTTGTGCTGCATTCTGTGGAAACAGTGTGGCACTATTTCAAATCATGACTAAAACAGAATGTTCTGATTATTCATACCTACAAAGCAGTAAAACAGTTGGTGAAAGTAAACATCTACATTATATTTATCTGTAAACATTGTAGTTCCAAAAGTCTGACATTGGACCCCTTTAAACCCTCTGGGGCAGAGCCATTATGATGGATCTGCACCAAACTTCAGACAAACCATCCTTGAATAATGCTTAATAATGCCTGAAAGTTTCATTACAATCTCCGGATTCCATGGTGTACTTACATACATACTTCCATTTTTATAGATATAGATATTTAATTATAATAAAATCAAAAAAAAATTGTATTAATTTTCCTATTAAATATAATTTTCTAAACAATTAATTAAGTCTCTATATTTTACTCCCTATCCAACCATAATATTGCAGAATATACATTTTTAGAATTTTAAGGGTATATACCCACCTTGAAATATATTTTCTCCCTTTTTAAAAATACACATCTATGGAAGAAGAATTTTGTAACTGATTTAAAACCACCTTTTGCTCAGCACTGAACCACATTCAACCACTCTCGGTAAAGTTATTTAAAGCTAGATTACAATAAGAGCCGGTTCACTTCAAGACAAAACATATTTTGAATTTGCTCCCAGGTTGCAGGTTCCCACCGTAGTCGCCCCACCCCTCCTCACCACTCAACTGTTGCGGGGAAGGGGAAGGTCATCAACTTGTGAATTTTACTGCTGCTGGCCACGCCGACGGCGAAGATAAGGCAGGACAAGAGCTGCTCGCGGGCAAAAAAGAAGATCACCTGTTTTTAGCAGCGGGCCGCATTTCACACTCGAATCGTCCGTGCTTCCATTACGTTTCCCAACAGGACACTACATAGCACCTTTTAAAATGACATTACAGATCACCAAATTGATATTGTTCCGATGGTATATTTTGTTATTTATTATTGACATTTGAAATACTACAATCTACATGGTGAATAATGTTGTTACTATTTAAACACAGTGTTATAACTGAACGTCATCGGCACAGCACTCCTCATACATAGCCTAACACATAACTGTATAACACTAGGCCAACTGTACGCTTCGGTTCTTTTTTCCTTTGCTTCTCTATCAACAAAACACTCACGGTGTTAAATTTGTAACACTGCCTTTTTCATTTAGTTTTGTTTGGTTTCATATGCATACACTTTTTCAGGCCGAGAAATCTTGTTTACCCAACAGTTTAAAGAAGACAGTTTAACAGTTTAAAGGCATTATAAGTAACATGCCTTTCAAACTACGCAGTCGAATAAGCTGGAATTCTCAGATTGAAGTTATTATGAAGCAGATATGAGTGGGTGGTTGCGGTGTGAAAATGAGAATAATTTGACGTTAGAAAAGTGAGGACATCCAGAAGTTTAAAGCTTATAAACATTGATAGCACATAGTCCATTAAATATACAGTACTGTACACTCTATTCGGAGTTGTGAATATCACCAGGAAAAACTGGGAGTTGTTTTTACTTTCTCCCCCTATACCATAGTATATGGAGAAAGTATTGTTTTCGTCAAAATTTTTGAGTTTGAGTTTTGAGTGGATATATTCGTTTTGGGTCCCCCTGGACCCAAAAAAGTGGTTTTCGAAGTGATGTCTGTGTGTGTGTGTGTGTGTGTGTGTCTGTGTGTCTGGATGTGTACAGAGCTAGAGACTACACCTGTGGTCCGATTTCGATGAAATTTGGTATGTAGGTTCTAATCCATGGTATCTCCAGGCGTTTTTTTTATTTTTTTGAAATTTTGATTTTTAATGGGGATTTTCCCATAAAAACCCATAAAAAACCGGAAAAATCGGATTTTCTCAAAAATGGCCCGAACGATTTTGATAAAAATTTAGTATGTTGTAGCCCTTTTAATTCTGAACAAAATGGTACAAATCCCATTTCTGTAAAAATTACGGTTCCAAAGTTATGGTAAATTATGTTATTTTCCCATAAAAATCCCATAAAATAACGAAAAATAGGATTTTAGACAAAAAAACCGTTTTTATTTAACATAGTATGTTATGTATTGAAATTATGCTTTGGAAAGTTTAACAAATCAACTTAGGATCCTTACAATTTTGATAGTTTTTCTCATTTCTTAGAAATTTTTATTTTTAATGGGTATTTTCCCATAAAACCCCATAAAATGACGGAAAAAAAAAGATTTTCACAAAAATGGCCTGAACGATTTCGATAAAAATTTAGTATGTTATAGTCCTTTATATTCTGAACAAAATGGTACAAATCCCATCTCTGTAAAAATTACGGTTCAAAAGTTATTGTAAATTATGTTATTTCCCCATAAAACCCCATAAAATAACGGAAAATCAAATTTTCCCAATATTGACTCGAACGATTTTGATAAAAATTTAGTATGTTATAGTCCTTTAAATTCTGAAGAAAATCTTACAAATCCCATTTCCGTATATTTACTCTCACCGCTTACACATGATAAAGGTTGTTGACAAACTTATGGGAGAAAGTATGTGTCAGAATGCTGATACCGTTTATTTTTTTTGTAACCCTAAAAAATAACGATATGTATTTGATGAAAAAATAATAAATTTTGGGAGAAAATTGTAACATTAGCTTTTTAATTACCAACTGAAATCTCTGTTTGAATCTAAGTTTCGGCTATTCGTCATTCGGTCTCAAATCACAAACTTTACAATAGAACTGGAAACTTTTAACTCGATAATCGAACTCAGTATTGGACAAGTTTTGAACGGCCAACTCATCCGGTGCTTAAGTAATTTAGTCTTTAGTGACACAGAACTACTTGTTTCAATGGAAACGTACGGAGCCACGGTAGTTCTAAAATAGGCTCTCCTCGTATCGCCTGAAGGCATAAGCGACATGCTGCAGCCAAGCAACTTCAGACAGTTCCCCTATTCTGGTATTTCGTTGAGTAAATTAAGATGTATAAAATGACATCCTCTAAATAATATTAAATATGTAGGCCTACTTTTATATTTACACTAGATGACCCATGCTGCTCCACAGCGATAAAAGTACCTAATATCATATCGGAGAAATAATCAAATTTCTGATTTTTGATTGAGTAATACAGTATCTTGAACGATCTGATTTAAACGATTAATATATCAAATTAAAGCCTATAATTTACTGATTATTTTGAGTAAACAAAAAGAAACATAAACAATACCTACTATTGATTTTTAATCATAGAAAACCCTTATAAAAATCATTTTTGTGTTGGTTGTTCACCTTGCATTTGCTTGGAAATCGTCCGATTTGAATAAGCTTAAATGAAAGCTGGTATTTCACTGAAAGTTCTTAGATAAAAATATAGGATTATCTATACTTATAAAAGGCAAAGCCCTCACTGACTCACTAACTCACTCATCACTAATTCTCCCACTTCCCATTTACCTAAGAGGCTGAAATTCGGTACACCGATTCTTTGGGCGTTAAATAGGAAAACTATAAGTAGTTTTTATTCTGATCGGGCTTTTGGGCTCCGCCCCAGTGGCTCTGGAGTTTCCCATGTTAACCTTATGAGTACTCATATTTAAATGGAATTAAAGAATCTTAACAGCTGATTCAACTAAACAAGTTGATTATGTGATGTTCAATAGCATTAAAGAGTTAATAGGTTTACCAACAGGGTGCAGCACTATTATTTTTTTACATTTATGACAACAGCTTGCAACCAAAAGGTGAGTGAGCGTAGCGAACGAACTTCAACCTGTAGGCGAGTTAGCGTAGCGAACGAGCTAACCTGAAGGCAAGTGAGTACAGCGAACGAGCTCCAACCTAAAGGCGAGTAAGCGTAGCAAACGAACTTCAATCAGGACCTGATTGAGCCATGCGAACGAGCTCATCTTTAAAATTAACGAGCATTTTGACATAAAACCACATTAGGACAGGACGACGACTTGACCAAATTAGCAGATTTGTTTCATGAATAGAGCCAATGTAACCACAAGATTTGTGGGGATAGTCATTTTTTATTTATTATTAATACTTATGAAGTTAAACGGGGCAAAGCCCGCGGGTACTGCTAGTTTAGTTATAACTGGTGAAATACATCTTAAATTGAAGTATGAATTCGAAAATAAATTAAAATTATACTTTTTGGTCAAGTAATACAGTAGAATCTTAACAAGAAACTGATTATTTTACTGAACGTCATCGGCACAGCACTCCTCATACATAACACATAACTGTATAACACTAGGCCAATAGACTCGCTATTATTTTACTGAACGAATTATAAATACTGAACGATAAATATATGATGTTGCTTGGTGTGAAATCTGTGAGTGCATACCTAGGAGGATTAAACATTAAGGAGAGGGCACACGAATAGGGATATACATTATACATGTTGCGACGAAGCCAGCTTTGCTTTAACAGAACACTAGAGGCGATCGCGGAGCCGTAGAGTGACAAAAAGCGCGGCTATAACATGGGAGAGATAGGGAAAACCGCGACGCGCGCAGTTTAGAATTAAAATTGACGCTAAGCTAAAACACCTGTGTTATTCACCGATGGCATTCTTAAAGTAAATTAAAATTCCTATATTATGGTGTAATTATTTCCTGCCAACATTATTATTTATTATTTACTATTGGAGATCAAAGTTAGGAGAGTTGTCTTGGACTTTGAATATAATATTTGATTATGATTATTTTAATTACTTTTTTTTAAATAATTATGATTTAACTATACAAATAATCAACTTATTTGTTTTCCCTAAGAGTTTCTCAAAATAAAATTAATATATTTGCCAAAATTTAATCCGAGCTTAAAAAAACCTCGCCGCAGCAAACCAGCAGACTAAGCGAACTTCCATTTGCCTGATTGGATTTACACTAAAATGTTTCCTTAAAAATATCACATTTATTCCCTATTTAAATATAATTAGTTTAACGAGTAGGCCGACTTAGCTTTGCTGCAACACCGAGGGTAAAAGTGTTTTTTGTTTTTGTAAAATGTTAATAGTTTAGTAAGAAATAAATGCGTTTTCCAAATTTGATCAAAATATGTTCAAACAAGCAAACTTCAACAGTTAACTTATTCTCCATAAGAATAACATGGGCATTTTCTCCGTAACCATTAGGCGCATAATAACACTTTAATATACATGTTAAATATACATATGTTCAATATACATGTTACAGGTTATTTGTTTTTTTTTAAGCTCTACAAAATGGTTTGGAAAGAAATTAAATCTTATGTTTTTTGGGTCAAAATGGGAAAAATCAATTTTTACCCCATAAAACCCCCATAAACCTCCGTTGCCCTAGTCCGATCATGCTGGTTCGAGAACGTGTTCGAATAAATGGGGCTTACCCCAACTCCGCGCGGTGGTCAGAAATCTGTCAAAACCGACTGCCCAACTCCGCGCAGTGGTCACTTCGGGTCCCTCGCGGCACATGCCCAACTCCGCGCAGTGGTCAATTTTGGCTCTCACAGCCCTGACGTATGAGAGTTTGTGCTCTAAGTTTGAAATTATGATATATTTTCATCATTTATAAGAAAGGAAAAGTAAAAAGTATATGCCTACCCAAAACAGGAGACGAAGCTTAAAAACCACTAATATAAGAAGTTTTAAAAAGCCCGTGAGAAAGAGTGACTGTAAATTTATATGTTCCAAAGTCTACAATACTC